GCAGTTCATCTGCTCTGCAACACCATTCTCCTGTGGGGTATAGGCATTTGTCTTCTCATGGTGGACCCCTTTTGACTTGAGGTAGGCCTTGAACTCATCTGAGCCATACTCTCCACCTCTGTCACTCTGAAATAATTCACTTTTTCACCAGTTTTGTCTTCAGCTCAAATAAGATAGTCTTTCACTGAGGGGAAGACTTCATCCTTAGTTTTTATTAGTTTAACCACAAGGTGGTGTGAGCAAGCATCAGTGAAGGTTATGAAGTAGCAGTGTCCAGTTCAGGCTGTAGTCTCTATGGGGCCACATACATCAGAGTACAGTGAGGGACAAAAGTGTTGCAATGTAGCTCAGGCTATTCTGCACAGATAATCATGATACCTATACCATTGGAAAGGGGTGGCTCTAAGCTTGCCAGAGCACTAAGGTTCAGTCCAAACAAATCAATACATGCTGAGATACACCCTATTCTTTCCAAAAGGTGCATTGCAATGCTTTTGTCCCTGACTGGTGAAATAGTGAAAAGTGACCTTTTGATGGGATTGAGGGCATGAAGGATGGGAAAATATGATTACATAATAAACCATATGATCTTCCAGATGATTTGTCAGCATGTAAACAATGACAAACATTGGACTTGTACCATTAACCCTCCCTCTTTTACCACAACTCATGAAATCATCTCTCCAGCTCACATGGTCATTTTCTCAAGGAATTCTTATCAAATACTGGTGGCCACCACAGTGCCATCAGTATAACATACTCTCAGAACCATCAGTCCCTTAAAAAACCTGCTGTCAGTCATTCCCTGGACTGTTTCCCCACCCATGCCTGATGTGTTCTGGGAATAATTAGTACTTGGAAGGCTGAAAATGTTATGGAGGTCAATCTGGCACTTCAGAACATGATGGACAAACCAGTCCCCTCTCAACCAATGCATTTCTGGCACAGGGACAGTGGTATGGAAGTTGGGGTGAGACAAAACCTCCTTGTGCTCTGAGTACCATAAGAGGGTTCACTAGATCTTGCTCTGATCTGAACTGTAGATGACTGGGGAAGGATTATTTGGTCATATGTGACCAAAGGCAATATTCAGGGCCAGATGGAAGCACAGGATTCTGCTCCATGGCAGTTCAGTAGCATATCCTTCTGATGACACCCAGGGTAAAGAGGATTTTGTCTTGCCCTAACTTCCATACCACTGTCCCTGTGCCAGAAATGCATTGGTTGAGAGGGGACTGGTTTGTCCATCATGTTCTGAAGTGCCAGATTGACCTCCATAACATTTTCAGCCTTCCAAGTACTAATTATTCCCAGAACACATCAGGCATGGGTGGGGAAACAGTCCAGGGAATGACTGACAGCAGGCTTTTTAAGGGACTGATGGTTCTGAGAGTATGTTATACTGATGGCACTGTGGTGGCCACCAGTATTTGATAAGAATTCCTTGAGAAAATGACCATGTGAGCTGGAGGGATGATTTCATGAGTTGTGGTAAAAGAGGGAGGGTTAATGGTACAAGTCCAATGTTTGTCATTGTTTACATGCTGACAAATCATCTGGAAGATCATATGGTTTATTATGTAATCATATTTTCCCATCCTTCATGCCCTCAATCCCATCAAAAGGTCACTTTTCACTATTTCACCAGTCAGGGACAAAAGCATTGCAATGCACCTTTTGGAAAGAATAGGGTGTATCTCAGCATGTATTGATTTGTTTGGACTGAACCTTAGTGCTCTGGCAAGCTTAGAGCCACCCCTTTCCAATGGTATAGGTATTATGATTATCTGTGCAGAATAGCCTGAGCTACATTGGCAGCAAGTCACACCTCACAAACATTGCAACACTTTTGTCCCTCACTGTATGTTCAGTAGAGTACTGTCAGGCTTTCAATGTTTGACTTGACAGGTATCACCTTATGGTGTTGCTTCCCTTTGAGGCAAGGTTGGCATACTGAGTTCAAGTGCTCAGTGCCAATAAGCTCCATGCCTTCAACCACTCCTGCTTTAACTAGTTTAAGCACAGATTTTATGTTCACATGCCCAAGATGTCAATGCCACAAGTCAAGTGTGGCTACAAACCTTGGAGCTGCAGCTGCAAGTGCTGGGAAAATAAGGGTAGGGTCAAGTGGTGGAGATGGTCCTTGTATGACAAGTGTGCCATGACTCGGAGAGTGAGTCTTTGCCATGAGGATGTAGAGTGAGCCTTGACAATGATCCACACCTACAGTGTCTGTACTGTCAGTGATTGAGCATGTTCCACCTGTGAAGGTGACCTGGACATTTCTAGTGGCAAGGTATGCCACTGAGAGGAGGTTTGCACTGAGATCTGGAACAAAGTAGACTTTCTGTAGTAAGATTCTACTGGTCTTCCCATTTGGAAGATCCATATGAAGTTTGATCCATCTGATGGCAGTAGCAGGAATTGTGCTCCCATTGCCAATGACTACAGGCTGCAGGGGTGAGAGCATCTTTAGCAACGTGAACCATTTCTGCTGACAGCACATGTTCACAGAGGCACCAGAGTCTATGACCCAGCATGTGTGAAGATTCTCACCATTGTCAGTGGCCATGAAGAGACATAGAGCACTATCTTCAGCAGGTGAGATGTGCACAACTTTAGCAACAAGTTTGTCCTCCTTAGGCTTATCCTTTTCAGCCTGCAATGGGGACTTGGCTGCCTCATCAGCCTTCTTCTTGTAGCAGCCATCTTCAACATGGTTTGTCTTCTTGCAGTAGCCACAAGCCTTTTTCTTTTTCTTGTCATTCCTCTTTCCCTTTTTGTTAGGTGTCTTTGTTATGAGGGCAGTTGATGCTGAAGAGGTGCAGTGAGACTTCTTTTCTATCAAGACTTGGGAAATGATGGAGTCTGGAGTTAGTTTCTCATCAGATGACATGAGTATAGTGCAAAGGGTTGAGTACAAGGTTGGAAGGGAGATGACCATGGCTATGGCAACAAGAGTCTTCAAGGGGCTATCCAAGAGACTTTAGGATTGTCACCTTCTGCCACATGGCATTAAGCTGCATCTCCATCAAGATGTCATCTGCTAGGGTACTGCAAAATAGTTTGCTGATAAGGTAGGCTATCATTTGTTTCCCTTGCCTTCATAGCACTTACATAGCTTTCTCCAGACCTCTGCTGCTGTCATGGCATGCAGCACACCACTAAGTGGGTTGTCCTTTAGAGTAAGCATGATTTGAGCCCTTGCTTCTTTATCCTTGTAGTGCCAGTCTGTGCATGCAACTGGATCAGCTGCTGCATCAGGTGCCTTCAACTTTCCTTCTACAAGCTCCCAAAGCCCACAGACATCTAGGATCATCATGATTTGGTAATTCCACATCTGGAAGTTTGAACCATTGTCTTCCAGAGACAGTATGTCATAGAGTTGACTAGAGGCTTGAGTAGCTTTACCCAAAGGTGTAGTAGAGGTTATTGTTGAGGTGGAGACCAGAACCTTTGAGGGACCAGAAGTGGATGCTGACAGACCAGACATAGTAGACACTTTGTACCAGACTTTATGTGTTCAATTTTCCTAGGATTAGAACTTGCAGGCAGGGCTCATAACCTTTTGGAGGATGAAGAGCTGCAGGATTGTCAAGTCTATAGAGAGGAATATACTCAGACTTCAAGTTGGTTGAAGCTCAATAATTAACTACCCATAGAGAAGAATATACTGTAGGTAGGTAAGTAAGTGTTCCAATATAATGAATGGAAGGAGTCCCACCTCAGACTTCAAGTTGGTTGAAGCTGAGGTGCAGTAAGGAAAAATAAACTGCTAAGTCAGTTTATTCCAGAAAATTGGCAGGTGGTGGTGCATGGGAGCTGCAAATTTTGGACTGGCCTCCCAGCCACAGCAGCTCACCCTTGGTGGCAGGGATGGCTGTTCAGAGTGTCTGATGCCTCGTGACAGCACCAGCATCATTGATCATGGCATGGGAGGTGTGCTAGGGTGTGCTAGGGTGTGCTCAGGACATGGAAGCAACACATTCAGGTACATTATGATCAGGGTCTGCACACAGAGAGTGGAACATCCCCATGTGACACTGATCACTTAGAGACTGGACCTCCTGTCCATCGTGTTTGATAACTGTGTGATTCGGATTCGGATGGAGGGGGTGTGAGTGTGGGGGTGCCACTGTTAAATTTACATCAAAAAATGATCACTTTTGCAGTCAGCAGCTAGTATTGGCCTTTGGGCATTCTCATTCAGTAGGGGGGAAACTTTGTATGCTACTGTGCCATGTTGACATTTGTCATTTTTGACTTGGTGGTGCCTCTCAATAGTTTTCAGCTGAATTTGTTCTTGGCTGGTACTACTTACTGAGCTTTGTCTAATACATTGTATAGTACAGTATGTTTGCATTTGTCAAGGCCAAAAATCTGCTGCCTCCATGCTCATTGTACAATATATATTTCACCAGGTGCTGAAGTTGAACATTGAAGCACTGAGGACTGCATAACAACTGACTGAGTGTCTGTGTCGCAGTGTGCATTAGTCAAGTGCACAAAGCCCCTCACCCTGCTACTGTAATACCATAATGGCTATGCATCACACTGTGCCTGGCACATGGAACTTCGATGGTGACCTCAAGGGTCTTGTCCCATTCAGTGTGTTTGCATATTTTACTGACTCACTTGCCAATCTGGCCAGCCCAATTGTAAGTCTGCATGCCAATTTCCCATTGTAAAGTGACCAAACTATGGCCTGTCAGTGATCGTTTTTTTCTGCTGTTTCGTTGGCATGGTTATACTGACCATACAAAGCTTCTTGTGCCTGCAGCAAGGCCTTACACACTTGGCCAGCTGGCTGCTGAAACATTCGACCTGTCTGGAAATGAAGAAGGCATTCAATTGCTCACAGTGGGATTCAATGCCAGGTTAGTAGCCTGCTGTCTATGGTCCACTTTGTTCCTCACAGATGACATATCACCAGCACGTGGATGCATTTGCTAGTCAATGTGTTTTCATGGCATCAAGCTGGTACAGGACGATTGCATGAAATGGATATTATCTTCCACTGTCTTTCCACTCTCTCTTGCATGCTACTTCACCCTTACTTTGTCTTCGATGGGCCAGACTGCCCACAACTCAAGAGGGGAGAAGACATAGGTTTGACCTCCCCATGTCTCCTTGTGCAGCACTTTCAAGAGCTGCTGCTAATGTTTGGTTTCAACTGGCACATGTTGAGTCACTTGCTGTATGTATTTCAATGGGTACTAACATGACATCAGGCTCCAGGAGAGGCAGAGGTGGAACTTGCTTGTCTTCAATCATGCAAACTCATCAATGCTGTCATAATGCCATACAATGACATGCTATTGTTTGGTGTGACCCATGTTGTCCACAGGTAGGTTGACTTAAATATGCAAATGGTAGCTGGTGTGACTGATGGTAGTGACTTGCATTCTGGCAGGTTTGAAGACATGTAACTTTACTCCTTGGAAGCCATAGAAGATTGCACCAGTCTCAAATGGGGGGACCTCCTTTTGATCACGCTGATGAGTAGTGTAGATGATGATGTGCATGCCATATTCAGCATGCCGAAGGTGCCACCAAATCTCACTCAGTTCATAGATGGGCTGCCAGTGGTGCAGTGGGAACATTGCCTGTCAGTTAGTATGCTATGGCTTTGGAAGGACCCTCTTCCAAGCTGCTATCATGCTCCAATTTGTCGAGTTTATGGAGTTCATCACCAAGTGGCATAATGATGTCTGTGAGATACTGAGGATGGATCCTCAGCACCTCCTTGGATGTAGGTACCACAAACTCGCCTGCATCATCAAGGAGGAATGTGTTGAATTCCCTGACCCTGCTGTACTGGCAATGTACCTATTACCTCTCACATCATGGTTGGATGGTGGACATTCCCCTGTTGTGTTCATGACATCTCGTCAGCCTAATCTTGCCTCCCTGGCAATGTTCTGCTCACAGCATCTTGGCTGGTCACTGGATACCATCTGGTCAAGATTGATTGATGCTTCTGTTGGTGGAGCTACACATGTGCTTCTACAGGTGAGTCTCACAGCCATACTAAATATGCCTGTCCAACCTCATCATCTGTCATATACAGTTCCTGGGTAACATCAATGGTGAGGGGCTGTGACATGGCCTTCAGGTCATAAGCCACTTCAACAAGCCACTGCCCACCTATAGGCTCTCTGTGCCAAGTTGGCCCCTAGCAATGCCAGTGGACATGGATCGGTCACCTTTCATGCATATGTCACCACTGAGTGAGGATGCTAATGGTGATGCATTCTATGAAATAGAGGTCCTGGCAGTCATGTTGGAGTACTCAAGGCCTGACTTAGTACATGACCTTGTCCATGCATCCTCCCAGTCATCTCATGTGCAGTTGGTGGATGAGGATGCTGGTCATTGGCCGTTCGAGTCCATAGTTAACCTGGTTGCATCATCTCCTGATGCTGGAGTGATTGACCTGACAGATGGCAAGGAGACACAAACTGGCATTGTTGATCTCATGAGTGAGGACTAGTTCATGCCTAGCACTTTTTGTAACATTGTATCAGTTCATGAGTTGCACATTGCATACACTGTTCATCCCATCCCTTACACAATCCAAACCTGTTCACCATGCACCGTGACTATTGTCATGTGATGTCATCACCTCCAACCTTGCTTGCAATCAGTCTGGGCTGATGTGCGCAAGAGCACTTGGAGGACAACACTAACTCGCAGGTGAGTACTTGCATCAGGTAGCAGAGTGTAGAAGGATTGGTATTGATGACAGCTGCCCAACAGCTCCCTGGAGTTGCAAGTGAAGCCTGATGAAGAATATACTCACCTCATACTGGACCATCACAAGGTATGAGTTTTTTCTTTCTTTCTTCTTTTTATTTTATTTCCCCCTTGTGCAGACTGCCTTGCTCCCCACCTCCTAATGAATGGCTGGGTCCACACAAGTCTGTGTTGTCCACTTCCCTGCCCACTCTGTATATTTAGCACCCTGATGACTGCCTCCTTTTCATTGCTCCCACTGCCTCAGCTCATGTTGTCACCTGGATCATTATGAATTCAGTTGTGCTTGCTGTGATCTCATTCTAGGTAATTTTCCTTGTCTATTTAGCACCCTGATGACTGCCTCCTCTTCATTGCTCCTACTGCCTCAGCTCATGTTGTCACCCAGATCATTATGAACTCAGCTGCACTTGCTGTGATCTCATTCTAGGTAATTTTCCTTGCCTCACTTGCTTTTGACAGCCTGACCTCTCAACAAATTTCTAGGTCTGTGTGAACAGATTTTTTCTAATGACATCTCATCAAGGTGCTGGAGGATGTCATATCTATCTCCCAGGCTCCCTCTGGTGGGGACAAGGATGATGATGGGCGGGGCATGGTTGAAAAATATGTCAGTTTCTGCCAACTCGAGAACATGATAAGGGATCCATCAAGATGAAGGAGCAGGTTTTGGAGACTGACAGTGTCAACTTGGAGGTGGTGATGTGCATTCCAGGTGTCAACTTCACTCATGTGTACTCCAACAGCTGCATTGAGATCTTCAACATGCTTGGGATTGAAGCCACTTGCACAGCGAGCGAGGAGTCATTGAATTCAACAGTTCATATCTGAACTACTGCTACCTGACATTGCTCTGTGACCTCATGACCCATTGTAGAGCGCTTATGGCAATCACTCATCATGGCATTAACCATGCTGACACTGGCGCCCTGATGTGTTGCCCATTTGAGGAAATGGTGGAGATTTTGATGGAAGCTGCTGCCATTGGTGGAAAGGATGATTGTCACAGCATCGCAGAAAATGTTATATTTGGCCAGCTTGTGCCTATGGGTACAGGTGAGTTCTATGTCACTCTGGACATTGACATGCTGAATGATACCATCGCTGACTACCATTTCCCAGTACAAGACTTACTTGCTGCCCACACAGTTGGCAGCATGACACCAGGCCAAGTAGCAATGACACCATATGACATGAACTCACCTGCATGGTCAGAGCATAACTTCAAGGGCAAATCAGCAACGTTCTCACTGCTTACTGTCAACAGTGGACAACTTTTCATTCCCCAGGTATGGGCAGGGTTGCTTTTCCAATGCATACTGCTCACATCATCATATGTCCTATGGTAGAGCGACCTCACTCTTCAGCACATCACTCTATGCAATGTCCCCATTCTATGACAGAAGCAGGGGAGCTGCATCATTGACATACTCCCCAACATCACCTGCACTCAATCTCATGTCTCACCATTCAGCATGTCACAATACAGGATATCCCCATTCTATGACAGAAGCAAGGGGGGCTGCATCATTGATGTACTCCCTGACATCACCTGCACTCAATCTCACATCTCACCATTTGGCACAGAAGTAGGAGGGCTACATCATCAACATACTCCCTGACATCACTGCACTCAATCTCACATCTCACTGTGTGGCAGGTCACAATACAGGACATCTCCATTGTACAACAGAAGCAGAGGGGCTATGTCACCAGTGTACTCCTCCATGTCACCCACACTTGATCTCATGTCTCACCATTCAGCAGGTTGTGATGTGGGACATCCCTGTTGTACAAGAGAAGCAGAGGGGATACATCATTGACATACTCCTCCTCCACGTCACCCACACTTGATCTCACATCTCCCAGGTGTAAGCAACTTTTATCTTCTATCGCTCTGACTTCTCCAACATATCCTCCAGCTTGTAAGTTACCAATAACATCAGCATTGGTTCTACCTATGTTGTTGCCTATTGATCGTTCATGTCTAGTGGCTCCTGTTCCTCCTGCATACAGCCCAACATCTCCACAGTGGTCACCTTCTAGCCCTGCTTAAAATGGTACAACTCACCACAGCACTTGTATGATATGTCTCTGTCAGAAGATGTTCACACTCACATCACTTGCTGTTTGGTACAACAAGTGATAATTGTGGGACCCTGTCATCAAAGATGAAGATGTTTGCAGTTTGTGTCACCTGCCATTTGGTAAATAAATGTTGGCCCTGGGGAGTGAGTCATCAGTGCTACTGATGGATGAGGTGCCATGGTTGACATCAAGGGCAAGATCTAATTACAATTGCATGTATTGATACTAGTATAAGGAATCCTCAATCCATTACTACATGTACTTCAAACTGACTTTGCTTCGCTGTGCCATTTTAGCAAGAATTATCAGCAGCTCATGAGGTAGTATGATCGATTTCATGGACCAGGAGAGATCTAGATACGTATTGCAAATGACTAGTAGGTGACATTGTAGCTAGCACTCATGACATCACAACTCCCACATTGCCAGATCAAGGACTGCTAATGCAACATTAGTTGCTGTGATGGTCAGACAGAAGGGAGCCAGTACCAAGCACATTGCATTGTCCCCAGACAAGCCAAAAGGGGGGACAAGGGTATCCACTGCAAAGGAACTACCCAGCTTATGAACCACTCACCAAATCAAAGAAGCCGGCAAAGAAACTCACCTTCAGGCAGCAAAGACAAGGGCAGCATATGTGGGGCATGTCCAACGAGTGTGCTTGTGGCTGCAGAGCCATTTTCCAGCAGAAGGAATGCCACCAACTCCAAGTCACACTGGAGAGGATTCTGAGATCTACAGTGATCCAGAATTCAGGAATGCATTTGAGCACATGCCAAATAGGTGCTCAGATAAGGCATTAGCACTTTACCTTTCATGGAGAGGGTTCCAGGAGAATTGCAGCCAGAGCACTATTGACAGAGTTCAAGCAGGATTTAAGATGTTGTGGGATGAAGTGTATGTGTCATGACTGCTCAGTTTCCCTTGATGCTCATAGAGAAATACCTTCAGCATGCATTTCTTCCCAACAGTGATGGTGCAACATTCCATGGGAACTGGCATCACAATGATGTGCATCACCAATGGGAAGGCAACCCAGTCTTGTCAGCAGAAGTTGATGATATCGTTGCATCTATCAGACACAAGGTAAATTCTGAAGGAGCTGAATGGAAGCATTCAGGAGCCATGAAGAAGGAGTACATGGATAAAATACTTGCCTGGTCAGGATTGCTATGTCCACTTGATGCCCCACTCCAGTACATCCATCTCATGATGGTAGGCTGCAAAATGCTGCCATCAGGCACATCCCTGAGCAGGAAGGTGAGGCTAGCAGTCACATGGCACCTTGAACACCTTGCCTTTGGCACTGTTGCATTCATGCTCTGGACAAGGTAGGTATTAGTAGGCAGTGTTGCCAACAACATTTTGATGGTGGAATCCAACAGGAACTATGAGCTGCTGAAATTGAAGCATGGGGATGTCAAACTTGACTGGACTGTCATAGATGGCATGTTCATGAAATATCTTCGAGGTGAAGAAGTCTCCCTCACCATAAATGAGCACAATGCTTACTTCGAGATCCACCTGAAGAATTGTAAGGGATGGCAATGAAAGTTGGATAAGGGGATGAGGGAGGCCAACTTATGAAGTTCATCCTTATATCCATCTTCACATATCTTATCCATCTGATCTCCTTTTATTGCTATATACAAGGCAATCATTACAAGATTTATCCATGCCTGGATATGGGCAAAGCATGTGACACCTTCCTGTGCCTTGTGTTGTGGATGAAGTGGGTCGAGCTTGTCCATCTTGGGCAACTGATGACCAATGAAGACTTCCTTTTCCCCACAATTGGCACAAACAGCATGCCACAGCTGGGTGAGCTGCTTTCCCATGACACAATCCAGAAATGGATTGATGAGGCAGTAGTGGGGTCTGGAACTCCTGGGACATTTATGACCCATTGCTATCATCATGGTGGAGCACAGTATTGCTTCATGTTCATGCCAGTGGGGCAGTGATGGACCCTTGCATGGGTCCAGTGGTGGGGGGGATGGGCTGAAGGTGAGCATGTGAGTACTTCATCCTCCTTCCTATCTGGGTGTGTAGTAAAAGTCAACTGACTCCTTGCCTTTTGCTCCACACAACTATGCAGTGTGACACACTGATGCACTACCTCCTCAATGAGTTGAATTGCTACAAAAATGACCACAGTGATGCACTGCAACTGGTCCCATGCAAAGGTGATCATTCACTTGCAGGCAAAGCTGCGCTTGTCCAGCCAGTGTCCACCGAGGCACTCAACATGGTGCATGCATTGATAACATCTGACATGGCAGTGCTACACATGACTGTGAAGGAAGTGAAGGAAACCTTGTGCTCATTATCAGTAGATGTAAGGGAGATCTACCAACAGCTCAGTGACATGAGCAACCTGGTCATAAAGGCCCTGACCTTGGCCTCTGCACGTTCAGCCCCTTCTGGACCTGTGTTACACCAGGACACTACTGGCAGTAACACTCGAGCGATGCCAATAGCAGGTGAGCCTTGTTGATTCTGTGACTCCTACCACACCAACTGACCAGCTGCATGGATCAGCCTACCAACATTCACCTGTGCAGACCACAACATTGTCGCCCCCAGTGATGCAGTCTGCTTCCATTCCAACAGTGGGTGAGCCTCATTCATTCTATGAGTTCCATTGCACCAACCGACCAGCCACATGGATCAGCCCACCAGCATTCACTTGCGCAGACCACAGCTTTGTTGCCCCCAGTGATCCAGTCTGCTTCCATGCCAGCATCCCAACTATACCTACCTACACTCAATTTACAACCAACTCAAATGCAGTTCAGGATGCCATGAGTTGTCCAGCCATCAGATCTTTCACTCTTGACATCCCTCCCCTCACAGGTCAGACCCCAGAGGACCAAGGCCCATGCCTCTACCTCCCTTCTGGGAGTTGTCATCCTGATGGGACACAGACTGCAAAGTCAGACTCTTGGAGGGACATAGTGTGCCACTGGATGGAGGGTGATGTCACACACCAAAGGTGTTTGGTGAGGTGGACATGGATACAGCTGATGAATGGAGATGAAGACCATAGCCCTCATGCAAAGAAGGACAGCCAGAAATGTTGGCAGTCATCCTTTGCACAAGAACAAGTCATCAGTGCCAGAGAAAAAGAAAGGGAGTGAGTCAAGTGCTGGCTAAAATTCTTAAGTGCCCATGTATGGCATTCCAGTTTTTGACATATCTCTGCTATTTCTGCAGATACCAAGACCATTCTCACACTCACTTGTAGTGCTCAGCCACATGATCTTACCTTCCAATATTGGAAAGGATTTGTGCACTCCACACATTTCTACAGCACTCCCTCCAAAAGGCACTCATTTCACTAAATTCTTCTGATATGGCTGCCTCTACATCAATCATTTCACTTGTCCCCTTTGCTAGGGACCATGGCTACATATATCTACCAGGAGTTCCTACCAGCTTCCATCCTGAAGCATCCTGGTACATCCCACCCTTGTCTATGCCCTCTTGGCCCATCCAGCTTGGACAGCATGTTCTTTTTGTCATGACCTCTAGGAGGATGTTCTTTGGTCACCTGAGGTCTGTCATTCACTTGGAAAGGTCTTGTGTGGTTGTTTCAGTCTCTCCAGTCCAAGAAGCATATGGATCCTTCCTCCCTGCTCCCTGCAATGTCTTCATACTGGTCTCATCCATCATTCTTCCAAGATTGCAACAGCCACAGTATAATCTACTGTTCTCCACTCTCCCTGATCACATCCATGATGAGTATGATGCACATCTTGCCTCCTTGTTGCAAGATACAGCAGAAGACACTCCCCATTCATCCTCTCTTCCAACAGAGCCTTGTTCATGAAGTTTTTATTTGCTTCACTGAGAGGATGGTTTGGGGGGGACAGTTGTGATCCCCTATGCTCCTGTCACCCCACAGACCCCCAAAGCTTGACCCCTGTTGACATCTGACTCACCCTGTCCACTTTTGGATGTACTATATTGGCATCAGATCAGCACTGCCTCTCTGTCATCCCACCTTGGCCTAGAAGTGATCTCTTTGAGATGTGACATGCACAGCCTCCCCCTAATGTGATTCCAGTGCGCTTTCCCAGTTCCTGACATTACTTGACTCATACTTTGATGTTCTGACTGTCTTTGACTCACCTATTGCCAATACTTACCAATCTTTTGACTTTGCTTACTGATTCTTCACTTTTTGGCTTGCTAATCCTTACCAATGCTTACCAATGCTTTCCAAGATGATTACCCATCATTTACATTCCTTACTCATCAGTTACCAATCACTTACCAAGTGTTTGCACCTTGTTTTCCAAGGGCAACACCCCTGTACTGTATATAAATCACTGTACTTAGATAGCAAAAAAAAAAGAGGACATCAGAGAGCCCCTCTTGCTCACATTTTATCATCACTCAGTAATTCATTCAGCAGCTTCAATAGTTGAGACTTTATTAAGGGTCTAACTATCATCTACTTTGCTTATCCTTGTCTATCATCAATATACTTTGCTCCAAGCCCTCCCTGAGCTCAGTGCAGCTTAGGACATTGAATTAAGTTGTCATCCATCCTTCTGTAGGCTGACAGCAGTCTACCCTATTGCATTCTCTTGCATTCCTGCTTCTTCTTCATCAGGAGCACCCCCAACCCTCAGCACTTGTCTTTGAGTGTTGTAGCTTGCAAAAACCCTCCCAAAGAACAGGTTCTACCATCTAGGTACTGCATAGGCACACCACCACTTGCTCTTTTTGTCTTTTGTGTTGGTTTTGGTTGGTTTTCACCACTGAACCACACTTTGACTCACAGCAAGCCACAGCTTGACCTGCACATTCCACTCAAGGACTGGCCTTATCACTATTACAACAGGAAGAGTGGCCATCAATTCAACCTTGCAAGTGCTCTGGTGCAGGCAGGAAATGCTGCCATACAGCACCAGGCAAGGGGAAAGCTCCAAAAAGCATCACATTGGTTGACTCATCTTCAGAGGACAACAGCTCTATGGAAGATGATGAGTAATGAGGTGTAAGTTTTTATCCACCTTACTTTAATACTTTGTCACACATGCATTTTAACACAGGGCTTCCCAGTTGCTGTCAATTTAATGCACTTATGTACATATCTTGGCTTCCTTCCAAAAGTTATGCACAGTCATGCACTGTACATCAATTCATCCATGCATTTGCTTTCCCTCAGTGACCTCTATATACACTCTATGTCTGTGTGAAAGTCTGGTTTCTTTACAATATACAACAGTCATGATATGTGTACTTGGTGAGGAGACTACATATGTCCAATGGTGTTTGCTGAACACACAACAACTGGTATGTCACCCAGTGTGATGTCACACAGCTCTGGTAGCTTAGTGCTTAGTACATAGTACCCAGTGATAATCAATAATATGTTACAGAGCACTAGCTAGACATGGGTACTATATGGCTGTGAAAGTCCAATGATTGTGCATTGTGTTGTTGTTGAGATATGGGAGCTTGCTGTCAACAATGGTGACCAGAGGAGTTGGGGATGACACATCACATGCATGGGAAGCATCAGCAGGGTGCTGATGACAAATCCCAGTGTGGCTCAGGTAGCTTGGTGGCTCTTAATCCTTCTAAGTACCCTATGGTATTCAATAATTATTCATTGAGGGGGAAAACACCTCAAATGCCTCATCTTAGACTGACATCAAAACAGCAATATTGTGTCCATGTGCTTCAACACTATGCTAGTGAACAGGGGGGAGTAGGGGTGTGTGCTAATGATGAGACTCACAAGCCAGAGAACCAGGGAAGGTATCTAGGGAGACTAAGGAGGATGGGTGAAAATCCAAAGGGTTTTCCAGCCTGGAGGAGGCACTGTATCCAAAGGCGATGAGTGAGCTGTGACCCATTGCTTGGGAGCTGGTGATGCTAATGGCAAAGCTCAGAGCCCTGGAAAAAGGAGATGGCTGCTTACTTGTGTGGGTAAAAACTGGATTAGTGCACTGGGGGCATAGCATATCTCATGAAGTGTTCCAGGAGAGTGGGCCTATCGTTGAGGTAGGGTGCTAGTATCATTGTGTGTTGACATAGGTATAGTGTGAAGGAGTGTCCTGCCCAATTCCCAATTGTCTTGATGACATCAAAGGGAATGCCTTGAAGCAAGTAGTGAAGTGTGCCACCTATCCTTAGACTGTGTCCTCTGAGGTTTGGAAGATTATGTTCAGAGGCTAGCACCAAGATGCACTTGGTGACCTCTGATTTGGATAGTGGGCATAGGCCTGCTGTGGGGTGCTTCCATGCAAATAAATGTGTGCTGGGATCAGTGGGGTTGACTTGAAAGTGGTTCTCTAGCACTTCGATGGGGTTTGTGATGCCTTCCACAGGTGCACATTGAATGTCCTCTCCTTGTGGGGAGGTTTTGGTGCAAGGAATGTGGAATTTGGTGACTGGTAGGCCATTGAGGTTGTGGAGATGTTTCAAGTCTGCTTGAGTGATGTGCTTCACTGGGTCAAAATGTTTGATTGATGTTACTGTGAACTCTCTGAGTCTGGCTACACAGTAGAAAACTGTGGTTAAACACACAAAGATGGCAGCATCTCTTGGATTTTTGAGATCCATGAACAAGTGAAAAAGTTCTAGGGTTTCAACTTTGAATGGCTCATGGGGAGGGTGTTTGGATGCAGGTGGAGCTAGGCATGAAGCTCCTTCCAGTATAGCTCAGAGTTCCTCTTGTAAATGCCATGCATGCAGGCCTGCTGCAAAGTTCACCAGGGCTGATCCAGAATAGGAGCCTGCACAGCTGGACAGGAAAGCAAGCAGTGTTGTGGCTGAAATGGGGGCATGCTGCTGTTCTGGGAGGTTGTGCATGTCACAGTATACATGGTATGTTAGTAGGCCAGCTCCATAAGCTTCTTTTGTTCTTTCTGCCCACGAGGCCCCAATGACTTCCAGGATATGGTTCAGTTATTCCTCTGGGATGGGGTGTGAGCCACCTTGTTCTGTCCCTGCTGCTACTCATGTGTTTGTAGCTGTTGGGAGCCACAGCTGGAGGTGCTCTCTGGCAAGACAGTGAGGGCATAGAGGGGAGGGTATGGGGGTTAGACCTGGTTTGTAGGGGCGTGGATTTGCAAGGACCAGTGGCTGGTAGCTTTCAGAAGTCAGGAGGGAGGCATTGAATTGGCATTGCTGCTCTGCACTACCAGGGGAGCAGGGCCTGCTGTATGTAGTCCTCTTCATGTGTAGCTGATGCACATCTGGTTTCTGCTGCTTTGAGGATGTTGCAAGCACAGTCAATGAGTGTTGCTGCTGGGGGTGGGTAGGTTCCTTCCCTCATAAGTCTGAGTTTGGTGGGGGTTGGGGGATCTGAGGCATCAATGACAAAGCACTGTAGGTGTTTCGGGATAGGGATTGGAGGGAGGATAAGGTTGGGGGGGCTGTAAGAACCTCTTGATGGGCCATCAGCTGGGTTGCTTCTGCTGGGTATGTATCCAGTGTGAATTTGTTCGATGCTATGGGAGTTAGCGATGATGGAGTGAATCTGTTTGAAGACTTTGTTGACTTCAGTGTTACAGTGGCACCCATTCTGCCAGCCCTCCATGATTCCTGAGTTGTCACCAAAGGTGATGAAGGCTGCTTTGGGGAGGCCAATGAGGTCGATTGTTCAGACCAGGAACTCAAATGCAATGGCCTCAGCCCACCCAATGTCTCTTGTGCCTTCCCATGTTGCTCACCACCCCAGTATGAGTCTCCAGGCTCTCCATCTTTCTCTGATTGTGATGCCAATGCCAATCCCAGAGCTAGCATCAGAGAAAGCAGCTATGTTAATGAGTTGATGTGGAGGATGGATGGGGTGATGGACATCTCCGTTCTGTAGTCTGTCCATCCACCACTCTAGATTGTTTGCAACCCTCTTGTCCACACAATGAGGGAGGAAAGGTTTGTTTGCACCCATCTTCAGCATAGCTTCTAGCCCAGTTAAGTACGCTCTGCCACATGGTAATGCTGCACTTGTGCAGAGTAGTTTACCATAGAGTTCTTTCACATCTTGTAACACATGCACTGGGCATTTACACCATTCATGGATTGCCTTGAGGTACTTGTTAGTTTTGTTTGGGCTAGGTGCCACTACATAATCCTGGAGATCCCATTGGAAACTGATGTACGTAGCTGAGTGACTGAACAGCTAGTCTTTTGACCGCTCCCAGGGAATGCTGAGTGTTTCTGACAGGGCATCAATGTCCTCAAAGCTGTAAGAGAATAGGGCATCATGGGTTGATCTGGGTGAAGCTAGGGCAAGGTCATGGATGGTTTGTGAGCAGTCCTCATTGAACTCTTTGGGCATGTCATTATCAAGTGTTCTCCCTTGGTACCATATGTGGGCTCCTGCCTGCTGGGGATTGTGTGGGTGTGTGGCAATCTCACTGCACCAGAGGTTTCTCAGTCTATTGTATTCAGCTAAATATTTGTGCCTGATATGTAGGAAGATGTGGTCATCTACCTATTTGTCCAAGGGTCCAATACCATGATGTCTCAGAATTTCTGATCTGGCATCTGCTAAGTGTCTGTAGATTCCTGTGGAAGGAGTTGCTCTGAATGTGATGCAAGTATCTATGCAGCCATGTGTGCTCAACATATGTACTACACTTGCTGGCCATTGTGACAGGTGGAGGGGAATGGTGTGGTAGGCTTCTGCTACATCTCGCATTGTGATTTCTGAGCCTGGGGGAAGGCATGCAACAGTGCATAAATTATGGAGAGTTTTCCCCACATGGTTGGGAAGTCATGGGCATTTACATAGGAATTGATTGATGGGTTGGGGGTGGTTGGGCTGGTGATGTGTGGAAAAGAGAAGTTTTGGATGAGCCAGAATTTGCCTGGCCAGTTGGGCTTGGGGATGATGGAGAGGGGGGATGACTGGGACACACCAATTAAGGATTCAATCGTTTTTAATGGTAGTGGACCTATGAAGCAACCTTTCTTGATTTCTTTATGGACAATCCTATTAAATTTGCTCTTGTATATGGAAATGGAGTCTCTGTTTGGGGGGGATTGTGTATGCACAATTGGGGGAAAGTTTACAATGAAGCCCCAGTGAAGGCCTTCCAGGATTCTACTAAAGCGATTGATTAGGTTAAGATCTCGAAGCACCTGACTCCACACTTCTACTTTATATGGGGTTGTTGGGTGTAATTGCTTGAGCTCAAGGACATCTCCGAGCTCCATGGGTTGTTGCTCCACAACCTGAGCAGAAATGCTTGGCATCATGCCTCTCTGCACAGCCTTCTTCTTGCTGCCACTTGGTGCAGATGCATCACCCATCTTTCGTGAAGAGTGCTTTGTAGATTCTTTCAGCAAAGGCTTCATGTTTCTTGTCCCAGGTGTGAGTGGCTCTGCACTCAATAATGAGGTGGTGGTGGTGCCCAAGGCATACTGTGCAGGCTGGGAGGGGTTGGGAGTCAGTGAAACTGCTGTTCTGAAACATTTTCTGTTGCTTGTGATCAGTTTGGTCATGTGCTATCCCTGCATGGGGGGGAGAGAGGGGGTGATTCTGTCCACTGTGGGTTCTCATGTGGCTCGCTGTGGAGGCTGATTGGTTAGCAATGGCTGCAAAGCACTCACTGACCTGTGTTAGTGGGTTTGGAAGTTTGAAGGGGAGAATGGTTGAGCAATGTGATCCATGGATGTGATGCCAGTGTTAAAAATGATCATCAGACATGATGCCAGTTGAATGGAATGATCCACAGACACAATGCCAGAGTAAAGTGAAGAAAATGATGATGGGGGGGGTGTTAGTACAATGTGTAGTGATAGTATGTAATGTCATGGGTTGTTCACATTTGTTAGCTTGCATAGACCCTAGTGGGGAGCAAGGCAACATACCCTGTGGAGGTTATCTAGCTGCATGGTCCTCTCATTGTCAAGGATCTCATCTTTCACTATGCCTAGTAGTTCCTCATTTAACTCTGCAAGGGACCACCTGTATGATCCTAGCTTGGATCGGTGCCAGCATTGGCGCTGTTGGCTTTGATAGAGTAGGAGTGCTCATTTGTAGTGTTCACATGGAGAGCAGTGCCAAGGGTGGCTTTTGATTGCTGTCCAGAAGTCAATGTGCATCTTTATGCTTTCCTCTGGCCAGTCATGGTCTCTCATCACATCAATCATGCAGAGGGCCACTTCTCTGAATTGTTCCCAAGTGAGGTCCTCATCTTTGATGACCGATGACTTGTCTCTTGTTGTTGAGGTGGGTACCCAGAGGTGCTGGCCATTGTCTGTTTTCAGCAGCATCAGGGCTTTGTCATCAATGGAGGGGTTGGATCATTCTGCCTCTGCTAAACCAGCATTGGTGAAGAAATACAGTTTGCAATACTCCCCCTTAAGGAGTTTGCATGACATGTAGGGGGCAGGGATGTTAACTGGCCCAGTGGGGGCTTTGATGTTATGAATGGGCATGACCTTCACTTTGTATTTCTTGCACTCTTCAAGGTGTGCCACTTCCTCTTCTTCAAGGGTTTGACACTGTTGTTCTGCTGTCACACACCAAAGGTGTTTGGTGAGGTGGACATGGATACAGCTGATGAATGGAGATGGAGACCATAGCCCTCATGCGAAGAAGGACAGCCAGGAATGTTGGCAGTCATCCCTCACACAAGAACAAGTTGTCAGTGCCAGAGAAAAAGAAAGGGAGTGGGTTAAGTGCTGGCTAAAATTCTTAAGTGCCTGTGTATGGCATTCCAGTTTTCAACATATCTCCACCATTTCTGCAGATACAGAGGCCATTCCCACACTCACTTGTAGTGCTCAGCCACACAATCTTACCTTCCAAAATTGGAAAGGATTTGCACACTCCACACATTTCTACAGCACTCCCTCCAAAAGATGCTCATTCTGCTAAATTCTTTTGATATGGCTGCCTCCACATCAATCATTTCACTTGTCCCCTTTGCTAGGGACCATGGCTACATATATCTACCAGGAGTTCCTACCAGCTTCCATCCTGAAGCATCCTGGTACATCCCACCCTTGTCTGTGCCCTCTCAGCCCATCCAGCTTGGACAGCATGTTCTTTTTGTCAGTATGACCTCTAGGAGGATGTTCTTTGGTTGCCTCAGGTCTGTCATTTGCTTGGAAAGGTCTTATGTGGTTGTTTCAGTCTCTCCAGTCCAAGAAGCATATGGATCCTTCCTCCCTGCTCCCTGCAATGTCTTCATACTGGTCTCATCCATCATTCTTCCAAGATTGCAACAGCCACAGTATAATCTACTGTTCTCCACTCTCCCTGATCGCATCCATGATGAGTATGATGCACATCTTGCCTCCTTGTTGCAAGATACAGCAGAAGACACTCCCCATTCATCCTCTCTTCCAACAGAGCCTTGTTCATGAAGTTTTTATTTGCTTCACTGAGAGGATGGTTTGGGGGGGAAAGTTGTGATCCCCTATGCCCCTGTCACCCCACAGACCCCCAAAGCTTGACCCCTGTTGACATCTGACTCACCCTGTCCACTTTTGGATGTACTATATTGGCATCAGATCAGCACTGCCTCTCTGTCATCCCACCTTGGCCTAGAAGTGATCTCTTTGAGATGTGACATGCACAGCCTCCCCCTAATGTGATTCCAGTGCGCTTTCCCAGTTCCTGACATTACTTGACTCATACTTTGATGTTCTGACTGTCTTTGACTCACCTATTGCCAATACTTACCAATCTTTTGACTTTGCTTACTGATTCTTCACTTTTTGGCTTGCTAATCCTTACCAATGCTTACCAATGCTTTCCAAGATGATTACCCATCATTTACATTCCTTACTCATCAGTTACCAATCACTTACCAAGTGTTTGCACCTTGTTTTCCAAGGGCAACACCCCTGTACTGTATATAAATCACTGTACTTAGATAGCAAAAAAGAAGACATCAGAGAGCCCCTCTTGCTCACATTTTATCATCACTCAGTAATTCATTCAGCAGCTTCAATAGTTGAGACTTTATTAAGGGTCTAACTATCATCTACTTTGCTTATCCTTGTCTATCATCAATATACTTTGCTCCAAGCCCTCCCTGAGCTCAGTGCAGCTTAGGACATTGAATTAAGTTGTCATCCATCCTTCTGTAGGCTGACAGCAGTCTACCCTATTGCATTCTCTCACATTTCTGCTCCTTCTTCATCAGGAGCACCCCCAACCCTCAGCACTTGTCTTTGAGTGTTGTAGCTTGCAAAAACCCTCCCAAAGAACAGGTTCTACCATCTAGGTACCACATAGGCACACCACCACTTGCTCTTTTTGTCTTTTGTGTTGGTTTTGGTTGGTTTTCACCACTGAACCACACTTTGACTCACACTGCTTGTTCTTCTGCAGCTCATTCTTCTGCTTCTCATGCTCTGCAGGTTTCCTCAGCTTTGCACACAGTCCAATGTGCCTTTTCTCTGTTGTTGTTGATCTCCCAGAGGGTGCCCAGGATGTGGGCTGCCTGTTCATTGTCTACAGTGTCACTGATCAAATGAAGATGTGCCTCATTGTACTCCTCTGAGGAGAAATCAGGTCAGATAGCTAGGTTCAGGTCCTCCATGCTGGGTTTCATGGGGAGGGAATGTGAAAAGGAACAGAGGAGGCACAATCAAGGGCTGGACATGTGAGTTCTGCCTGTGGTAAAGTGTGCTGAGGCAAGATGCATGGTCTGCTTCACTTACTCGAACATGGACTACATTCTACATCACACTTCATGACTCAGCTTACATAGAATAATATCTAATTAGATTATATAAGTGGGAGTATCAGGTGAGCAAGGTTGTTGCCACCACCAGTGGCAGTTTCTGAGTCAAGCATTGCCATTTTTAGTCTTCAGTAGAAGGCATGGGATGTCCAATGTCACATTGAAGGTGGACTTAGCACAAGAAATTCGCAGTGGCAGTGAAGCAGCCTTGCCAACTGCAGTGGGCACATGCACATGATCTGAGAGGCCAGAAACCCTGTTATGTCACCACTGTCAGCCACTGTCAGCCACCTCGGCCCCATGCTGGCATTGTCGGCATGGCTGGGCATGCCATATGTGGTCATGTGAGAGTTGGCTGTAAACTCAAGGCAGGTGTGTGGAAATGGGCAGCTGGGACAGAGACAGACTGGATTGCCAGGGATGACAAGGTCATGCCAGTCCAAAGTACAGGGAATGTGTTTAAGCGGGACTGTGCAGCTGGGACAGAGATGGACTGGGTTGCTGGAGGCACCAAGGCTGTGGTCTGTGTGGGCGATCAGTGGGCTGATATGTGCAGCTAGTCAGTTGGCATGGTAGAACTGTTATAGCATTTATGGACTCACTGATTGCTGGCATTACCTGATGCAACACTGTTTCAGGTCAAGCCAAGTATGTCAAGGGCAAGGTCAGGGCCTTCACAACCAAGTTGCTCATGTTGCTGAGCTGTTGGCAGACTTCTTTCATGGTCATGTGCAGTGAGGCCACATCTGCTGTTAGCAATGTGTGGGCCATGTTGAGTGCCTCAGTGGAGGCTGGCCTGGTGAGCACAGCTTCACCTGCAAATGAACCATCAGCCTCATGTGAGACTGGTCGCAGCACATTGCTGTGGTCATTTTCATAACAGTGTAATTCATTGAGCAGGTAGCACATTAGCATATCATGCTGTGTTGGTGGTGTGGAGCAAAAGAGAAGTGAGTACGACACATGCTGATCAACTACTGCACACCCAGATAGGAAAGAGGGCAACTCACATGCTTGCCTTCCACCCACCCAACCCACCACTGAACCCACATGAGGGTCCATTGCTGCCCCAGTGGGGCAAACATGAATCTGTATTGTGCCCTGCCCCAACAGTAACAATGTGTTGAGAACATACCAGGAATCCCAGACCCCACTACTGCTTTGTTGATCCACTTCTGCACCATGTCATGGGAGAGTGGCTCACCCAGCTGCAGCACACCGTTCACACTGATAGTGGGAAACAGGAAGTCCTCATCAGCCATCAGCTGGTCAAGATGGACAAGCTTGACCCACCTTATCCAGAACACAAGGTGCAGGAAGGCATCACATGCCTTGCCCATATCAGGGCATGGATAGATCTTATAGCAATTACCTTTGGTAGGAAGAAGATCGGATGTGCATCACCACACCACAATGAAGATGGATGGATGCACTTTGCAAGTCAGCTTCCCTCATCCCCTTGTCCAGCTTTTTCTGCCATCCCTTTCAGTTTCTCAAGTGGATTTCAAAGTAAGTGTTAAGCTCATTTATAGTGAGTGCATGTTCCTCGCCTCACAGGTATTTCATGAACACAGCATTGATGACAGTCCCATCAAGTTGGACATCTCTGCACTTCAATTTCACCAGTTTGTAGTTCCTGTCATGGATTGCTGTCAAAACCATTGTTAACGTCACATATAGAATGCTAGCACTTGCCTTGTCCAGAGCATGAATGCAACAGCACCACAGGCCAAGTATTTGAGGTGCCATGTGATTGTTAGCTTTGCCTTGTTACTCAAGCACTCACTCATTGGCAGCCCTTGCAAGCCTGTCATCATGAGACAAATATACTGCAATGGGGCATCAAGGGGACATAGGGATTCTGACCAGGTGAGGATGTGATCCATATACTCCTTTTTCATGGCTCCTGAGTGTGTTCACTCAGCCCCTTCAGAGTTAACCTTGTGCCTGATAGATGCAATGATGTCATCAACTTCTGCCAAAAGGACCAGGTTACCTTCCCATTGGTGTTGTGTATTGTTGTGATGCCATCACCCATGGAATGTTGCACCCTCGCTGTTGGGAGGAACAATGCATCAAGGGTATTAGTCAATGAGTGCAGGGGTAAAATGAGTGGTCACAGCACACATGTCTCATCCCACAACATCTTGAATGCTGCTCAAATTCTGTTGATTGTGCTCTGGCTACAATTCTCCTGGAATCCCTTCCATGAAAGGTAAAGTGCCAATGCCTTATCTGAGCACTGGTTTGGCACACACTCAAACACATTCTTGAAATTGGGATCACTGTAGACTTCCAAGTTGTCTACAGCATGGCTCAGAGCTGATGGTGTCCCCTCTGCCAGAAAGTGGCTCCCCAGCCACAAGTGTGCTTGACAGACATGCCTAAAGTACATCGCCCTCATCTTTGCTGCTCACAGGTGAGTTTGCTTGCTGGCTTCCTTGATTTGATGGACAGTATGCAAGCTCAGCAGTTCCTTTGCAGCAGACACCCTTGCCTTCTTTTTTGGCTTGTTTGGGGACCCAGATGAGGCAGGGTACTTGGTAGTCAATGCCTTCTGTCTGGCCATTATGGCAGGACTTTAATCATGGACCCAAACTTGACTTCACAATGTGGGTGTTGTGAAGTCACAAGCACAGGGGCATTAGCTACCATGTCCAGATGTCATTTGTTTCAATTCTAATACGTGAGTTGACTTGGCAGAAAGTCTCAACATGTGTGTACTATGGAGTGCACCAAGTCAAGTAGTACTAATGTGTAATGCTAGAGTATTGAACATATATTTGACAGGTTTGTAGTAGGGAGGAGAGCAAGGCTCTGCATGAGGGAAAATGAATGACTACAACCTGTGACAGTCCCATACAAGGCAGGCATATCCTTTGTCAAGCTTTGGATACCTGTAGTGGGGAGTAGGGCTGCCTGCGCAAGGGAAAACAAGTGACCACAACTTACAACAGTCTTGTATGAGGTGGGTATATTCTTTGTCAAGCTTGGCATACCTGTAGTGAGGAGTAAGGCTGTCTGCACGAGGGAAAACAAGTGACTGCAACTTACAATGGTCTTGTATGAGGCAGGTATATTCTTCGTCAAACTTCGGATACCTGTAGTGGGGAGTAGGGCTGTCTGCACAAGGGAAAACAAACACTCATGACAGTCCTGTATGAGGCAAGCATATTCTTCATCGAGCTTCAGATGACTGTAGTGGGAAGCAAGGCTATCTGTGCAAGGGGAAATGAACAATCAGGCTTTGCATACCTGCAGTGGGAAGTAAGGCTGTCTGTGCAAGGGGAAATGAATGGCTGCAACTTGCAATGGTGCTGTATGAGGCAGGGGGATTCTTTGTCAAGCTTTGGATACCTGTGGTGGGGAGTAAGGCTGTCTGTGCAAGGGGAAATGAATGATCAGGTTTCAAATACTGTAGTGGAGAGTTAGGCTGTCTGTGCAAGGGAAAACGAATGACTGCAAAGTCAGTTTATTCTGGAAAATTTGCAGGTGGCTGTGTTTAGGAGTAAGGCTGTCAGCGCAAGGGGAAATGAATGATCAGGCTTCACACACTGTAGTGGGGAGTTAGGCTGTCTGCATGAGGGAAAATGAATGACTGCAATGTATGACAGACCTGTACAAGATGGGCATATTCTTCATCAAGCTTCACATACCTGCAGTCAGGGAGTCAGGCTGTCTGCACAAGGGGAAACAAATGATCAGGCTTTGGATACCTGTAGTGGGGAGTAAGGCTGTCTGTGCAAGGGAAAATGAATGACTGCAACACACCTGTATGACATGAAGCAAGTGATCAAGCATTGAATACCTGCAGTAGCCAGTAAGGTTGTCTGTGCAAGGGCAAATGAATGACTGCAACACACCTGTATGAGGCAAGTCATCAAGTTTTGCATACCTGTAGGGGGGAGCAAGGCTGTCTGTGTGAGGGAAAATGAATGACTGCAGCTTGCAATGGTCCTGTACAAGGCAAGCATATTCTTTGTCAAGCTTCACACCCAGGGAATTGTTATCAAGACTGATCTGGAGGACTCCAGGAGGGAAGACCTCCTACCTCTGAGCCTGAACATACTGAACCTCTCCACATACAACTGAATGAGGTTGCCCAACAATTTGTACACTGCACTGTCACATGCCTTGATGAGATGTCATTGGATATAGCCTGTCTCTGCTGTTTTAACATTGGTATCAATGGGCCTTCCTCAGGGCAATGACATGATTCACCAATTGACCCTTCTAGCATGATCAAACACCAGCTGAAGGAGCCACAATGAGTTAAGGTGGATCTTCAACTCCATTTCCTCATCTGGGAGGGCAAAGAAGAATTCAATGACCATGGAGTCTTTGATAATTGTGGATGTAGGGTCAAGGTCATACCAAAGTCTGAAGCAGTGTGTAAGCGAGCTCTTGCTGCATGTTCTTCACCAGCATCCTGCCCCAGGCAATATTGGATTTCAAGTATATGGAAAGCAAACATGTTTTCAATATTGGTGGCAATGTTGATGATTTCTTTCAGACAAGGTGCATTGAGTGCAACATTTTTGCTGGATACACCAGCATAGTGGAAGGTGTTAACAATCATCTGAGTAGCCAGTTCACCAATAGATCATACAACAGGTGATTAGTTGAACTTTACCTCAATCTCATCCAGCACCCACTCAAATGGTTCATGGTTGAGGTGGAACTCTTCCAACAAGTGGTAGGTGGTGGTTGTGGCTCATACCTGCATGTGGAAAGTGCAACTAAGCCCAGCGCATATTTCAATTTGTGGGCATCACAGAGTTGACAATCATGAGAAATAAGGTAGGCACACTGTGCACGATCCCCAGATATAGTATGCAAGGAAGGTGAAATAAATGAGATGGACAATATTGGGGCATGGAGATAGGGGGATGCATGTGACCAAGTTGACAATAATGGGGAGCAGCACAAGAATGAGAGCAGGCAGGGAAGTCAATGAGATAGACTCATGCACACCCCATAATTTGTTGAGAAGTGGGGAGCAACACTGTCTGAAGGGGAAAAAGAAAAAGAAAGTTGACTTGTGACAGTGCTGTATGAGGTGAGTGTATTCTTTGTCAAGCCTCATTTGCAACTCCAGGGGAGCCATCATCAGACTGGAGCTGGCCAAGGGTGGCATAACATCACACGAGTATCCATACACTGCTGACAGCTTCAAAGTCTGTGAGGGATGAGGTGAATAGTGCACACAATGTGCCACTCATGAACTGATACAGCGCTACAAATACATGTACTAGGCATGACTAGTCCTCACTCCTCATGAGAACAACATCTCCAGTTTCAAGACATGGTGTGTCCTCGCCACCTGTCAAGTCAATCACTCTAGCTTCGGGAATCAGTGGAACAAGGTTAACCATTGGCTCAGGTGGTTGAAGACCAGCATCCTCATCCACCAATTCCATGCAAGATGGCTGGGATGATAGAGCAACAGTGCCTTGTACCAAGGCAGGCCTTGAGTATTCCAACATGACCACAGGGACCTCCACTTCATAGAATGGGTTACCATTACTGACCTCACCCAGCAGCGACATATGCACAAAAGCTGACAGATCCACCTCCACTGGCAATGGAAGGAACCAGCTTGGCACAGAGAGCCTGTATGTAGGCAGTGACTTGTGGAAATAGCTGTTGACCTGAATGCCACATTGCAAGCCCTCACCATCAATGTTGCCTGGCAGCTGCATATGGTGGATGATGAGATGGGATGGGCATATTTGGCATAATTGTGAAACTCACCTGTAGAAGGGCATGCATGGCTGCACCAGCACAAGTGTCCATCAATGCAGACTGGACAGTATCTGGTGGCCAGCCAAGGCACTGCAAGCAGAATGCCACCAGGGCAATGAGATTAGCCTGATGAGACATCACATGGGTAATGGGGGAATGTCCACCATCTGACCACAGGGTGAGGGGTGACAGATACATTGCCAGGATGGTGGGGTCAGGGAACTCAAAGTGTTCCTCCTTGATGACACAAGCGAGCTCATGGTACCTACATCCCAGGAAGTGCTGAGGATCTGTTCTTAGTACCTCACAGACATTTGTCACACCACTTAGCGATGAATTCCATGAACTCGACAAACTGGAGTGAGATGGCAGCTTCAAGGAGGGTCCTTCCAAAGCCATAATCTACCAACCAACAGGCAACATCTGTGTCACACCAGCAGCAACCTGTCTGTAAATCGCACAGAACTGAGTAACACTTTTGGGGTACCAGATACAGTACTTACATCACAGTCTGCACTGCTCATCAGCATGATCAGAAGGAGATCACCCCATTCCAGGGTGGCACTATTTTCTATGGCTTCTGCCAAGTAGACTTCCATGTCTTCATCCCCATGGATGCTATTGTTTATGATGAGTCAGACAGTCACACCAGCCATGTTTCTATGTGTGAATGGACTCACCTGCAGAGAGCACAGGTTGCACCAAACAGTAGTGCATTGTCATAAGGGGTCACCATGGCATCAATAAACCCACATGACCAAAGGCAGCTGAGCTCTGCCTCTGCCTCTCCTGGAGCCTGGTGAGCTGCATTAGCATTGAGTGAGATCCACAGTGGGTGACCTACCACATGCCAGTCAAAGCCAAACACTGTCAGAAGTTCTTGAAAGCGCTGCACAAGGAGTGATGGAGGGGACCAGCCCAGGATGCCTTTTCCCCTCTTGATTTGAGGGCAGTCTGGTCCATCGAAAGCAAAGTAGGGGTGGAGGAGCATTCGAGAGATGGTGGAGAGGCAACAGAAGATGGTTGGCATTTCATGTGACTGACCTGTACCAGCTCGATGCCATGAGAATACATTAAGGAGTGAGAACATCCAAGCACTAGTGTCATTCATCAGGGACAAGATGGACCAAGCTCAGCAGGCCACTAACCTGGTGTTAAACCCCATGGCAAGCAAACCTGCTTTGTCACCAGAGAGGTCAGAGCACTCAGCAACAAACTCACTGAGTGTGCAGGGTCTTCCTGTGGGCATAAGAAGCTAATTACGAACAGTGCATCAATGTGCCAGAAGGGAAGAGAGCCATCAAGCACTGACCGGCCACAGTTCACAGTCTCTCATGATGCTCTGAGCATGGCAACTTATCTGGAGGAAGTCAAGCAAGGGAGTGATGAAAAAAGAGCTGGCTGATGTAGCCAGCACCCAGCTGACAAAGACTGGGCTGACCACTTGTCAATGTAAGGCATCATGGTGGACGAAGTCATGAGTGGGAGATTGGTTTCGAGAGCTTATCAGTGCTGAGCAGATAATGGGAGCAGCAATAGCAACATGTCAGCTGGGTGAAACACTCAGATTGGCACTGGCAGGTACTCACCAATAATAATCATTCAATGGCCATGGACAGCAGTGAGAGCTTGAAGAGCATTGAGCAACAAAGAGGGAACAAAGGGAGGAGGCAAGGGTTCTTGTCAGCATGTGCAGAGCTGCAATACACCACCTGAACCTGCCCTAAGCAATGATGTTAGTGCTGTGATGTCCTCGAGGCCATGAACCGGTTTGAACTGCAAAGTGCTGGATGCAATTGTAAAGTGCTGCAAAGTCACTTTGCAACAGGAAATGTACACTGATTTTTGCAACCACACCAGCTGGATTCACAAGGTCGAACCAATAAAATTGGTGAACCATTCAACAGGGCAAGACCCTTGAAGCTTGAAGTTGGCCACTTGCTGACTCAGGTTCCATGTGACATCACAAGTCATTATGGTATTACATACAGTACAGTACTAGCAGGGTGGGGAGTGTCGTACATGATATGTCCAGCCAACATCAGTGAACCAGTAGCTGACAAAACCAGAAAACACCATTTTGTTGCCAAGCAACCAGCTTTGACTGGATTCTACAGGTGTCACACACCAAAGGTGTTTGGTGAGGTGGACATGGATACAGCTGATGAATGGAGATGAAGACCATAGCCCTCATGTGAAGAAGGACAGCCAGGAATGTCAGCAGTCATCCCTTGCACAAGAACAAGTCATCAGTGCCAGAGAAAAAGAAAGGGAGCAAGTTAAGTGCTGGCTAAAATTCTTAAGCACTTGTGTATGGCATTCTGGTTTTCAACATATCTCCACCATTTCTGCAGATACCAAGACCATTCCCACACTCACTTGTAGTGCTCAGCCACGTGATCTTACCTTCCAAAATTGGAAAGGATTTGTGCACTCCACACATTTCTACAGCACTCCATCCAAAAGACACTCATTTCACTAAATTCTTCTGATATGGCTGCCTCCACATCAATCATTTCACTTGTCCCCTTTGCTAGGGACCATGGCTACATATATCTACCAGGAGTTCCTACCAGCTTCCATCCTGAAGCATCCTGGTACATCCCACCCTTGTCTGTGCCCTCTCAGCCCATCCAGCTTGGACAGCATGTTCTTTTTGTCAGTATGACCTCTAGGAGGATGTTCTTTGGTTGCCTCAGGTCTGTCATTTGCTTGGAAAGGTCTTATGTGGTTGTTTCAGTCTTTCCAGTCCAAGAAACATATGGATCCTTCCTCCCTGCTCCCTGCAATGTCTTCATACTGGTCTCATCCATCATTCTTCCAAGATTGCAACAGCCACAGTATAATCTACTGTTCTCCACTCTCCCTGATCACATCCATGATGAGTATGATGCACATCTTGCCTCCTTGTTGCAAGATACAGCAGAAGACACTCCCCATTCATCCTCTCTTCCAACAGAGCCTCATTCATGAAGTTTTTATTTGCTTCACTGAGAGGATGGTTTGGGGGGGAAAGTTGCGATCCCCTATGCTCCTGTCACCCCACAGACCCCCAAAGCTTGACCCCTGTTGACATCTGACTCACCCTGTCCACTTTTGGATGTACTATATTGGCATCAGATCAGCACTGCCTCTCTGTCATCCCACCTTGGCCTAGAAGTGATCTCTTTGAGATGTGACATGCACAGCCTCCCCCTAATGTGATTCCAGTGCGCTTTCCCAGTTCCTGACATTACTTGACTCATACTTTGATGTTCTGACTGTCTTTGACTCACCTATTGCCAATACTTACCAATCTTTTGACTTTGCTTACTGATTCTTCACTTTTTGGCTTGCTAATCCTTACCAATGCTTACCAATGCTTTCCAAGACAATTACCCATCGCTTACATTCCTTACTCATCAGTTACCAATCACTTACCAAGTGTTTGCACCTTGTTTTCCAAGGGCAACACCCCTGTACTGTATATAAATCACTGTACTTAGATAGCAAAAAAGAAGACATCAGAGAGCCCCTCTTGCTCACATTTTATCATCACTCAGTAATTCATTCAGCAGCTTCAATAGTTGAGACTTTATTAAGGGTCTAACTATCATCTACTTTGCTTATCCTTGTCTATCATCAATATACTTTGCTCCAAGCCCTCCCTGAGCTCAGTGCAGCTTAGGACATTGAATTAAGTTGTCATCCATCCTTCTGTAGGCTGACAGCAGTCTACCCTATTGCATTCTCTCACATTTCTGCTCCTTCTTCATCAGGAGCACCCCCAACCCTCAGCACTTGTCTTTGAGTGTTGTAGCTTGCAAAAACCCTCCCAAAGAACAGGTTCTACCATCTAGGTACCACATAGGCACACCACCACTTGCTCTTTTTGTCTTTTGTGTTGGTTTTGGTTGGTTTTCACCACTGAACCACACTTTGACTCACACTGCCTATCTGCCCATCCCAAAATTCTGCAATGTACCACTGGCTGTTCAGGCCATGCTATCTGCACACATCTATCACTTTTCCATATCCCTCATCATGTGGAATCTGATCATTGCCAATTGTGATGGCAAAGAAATGTCTGATCCATTAGGAAATTGTTAAGTCATGCATACCCCTCTTGTTGCCTGGATTGCTGACTATCCTGAACAGCTTCTGATCGCTTGTGTCTCAGCAAAGAATTCCCCCATTTCACTAGCAATGGCAGAACAGTTCAGAGATGTGACAGCCCAGCCCCCCCATGATCATGAGTACACACTTCAGAAGATACGACAGGCTGCCACTGCATGTGATCCATGCAATATTGTTGCATTCCACAAGGCTTGTCTTGCCCTCCATCTAAATGGTGTTGTGGAGCCATTCTGGAAAGATTGGGGGGATACATGTCCCTCCCACTTTCTCACCCCCAATGCCCTGCACCAGTGGCACAAGTTCTATTTTGACCATTGTGTATGCTGGGTAATCAATATCATAGGGGGTGAGGAACTCAATCACTGCTTAGCTGCCCTGCAGCCAAGGATAGGGACTAGGCATTGGGTGAATGGTGTCTCCACCCTCAAACAGTGCACCGGTCGAGAACACTGCAAACTGGAGAAATTGCTTCCTGCTGTGGCAGCAGGGGCATTTCCCAATGACATGCTTTGTGCCTTGCATGCCATCACCAAGTTCATCTTTCTTGCCCAAGGTATCTCCCATTATGATGAAACCATTCATAGTCTCAGTGAAGCCCTTCATGAATTCCACCATTACAAATCCAGCATTCTCAGGGCACATGGCTGTCTTGGGAAGAACAGCCCCCTTGACCACTTTCAGATACCAAAAGTTGAACTAACTCAGCACATTGCATGGAGCATTCATCAGATGGGTGCCCCTTATCAATGGAGCAGCAACATCACTGAACATTGCCACATAACTCATGTCAAGGTGCCCTACCATTTATCAAATCACCAAGATTACCATGCCCAATGTTGCTGTTTCCTTGATCAACAAGAAAAACAACACTTTTTCTGCCTCTTTACTGCTCTGAAATCTTCAGCATCACTGCTTTTCTTTGCAATGATGGACAAAGCCAGACTTATGGCAATTCACTTCCCAGAGGCTAGTTGGGTTTCTGGTATGTTACCCAGCAAACATTATGTTGGCTCTGTCTGCTTGCAGAAGTCCATATTTGATAACCCCCATTCACGTGTATCTGCAACAAATGCCACAGTGCTTCTCCTTACTGTTCGTCCTCACCATCCTAACCTGCTACTTCATGATGCCATGATCTATCTTCAACTTGATGACCTCATTCCTGCTCTCGGAGATTTCATTTCCAGTCAAACTTATATCACTTGCAGCAGTCATTGCTTCTCTACCTCTGACTGCTCCCCGCCTTTTCAGGCTGTGAATGTCTGGGGGAAGTTTCAAATTCAACACCGGTCCACTCAAGATGTGCAAGCTGTTACACCCACTCAAATGGCCCAGGCAGTGCCTCCAAGTGAAAGGCTGCCATTTGGATGTGCAAATACTGTGTTGGTTAGCCATGAAAGTGGTGAACTTATTTCAGCTGATCCACAATCCAAACGTGTGTAATGACAGTGTTGATAATGAGTTCTACTGAGTTTCTTTGCAGGTTACCTTGTGGCTCAGGTGCAAGCAATCTTGCAGCCCATCTGCAACCTCATGTTCCCCCCCCTGATTTATGTCAAGTTCTTCAACTTCTCCAACCTGCACTACCATGTCATCGACAACATCCATGTTGTTGCTCCTGCCCTGAAAATAGAAATGTTCCTTGTTCAGCAATGCTTCTGATCTAATGGCCAGCCACTTGGTGATATCATTCCTCTTGACAGTGTACATCAGGTCATTCAGATCATCCCAAAGTTTGGTGTCAAGGCCCCTAGAGGGATGACATGTGACAACTGTCTGGATGTGGGGTGTGAGTTCTACATCAATAGTTTTGCAGACAAAGAGACCTTTCATGCCATCCTGAGCTACCAGTGATAGTAGATCCTCTGTTCTCTTCTTCACAAGTGTTTCCATCCATGATGCTATCCTATGTACAATCAATACCGGATTGTTATTGATAAGATCTGAGGACTTTATCAGACTTGTTGACTGCATCATAGTATGATAAGTGTGTGCCATAATAGATAAACCCTTTTTGGAGACATTGGCTAACACAAGATTATGCTGAGGCCAATATCTCCCTAATGGAGCTATACATGGTTTTTGGCTGGTGTGAGTCAAAGTGTGGTTCAGTGGTGAAAACCAACCAAAACCAACACAAAAGAAAAAAGAGCAAGTGGTGGTGTGCCTATGTGGTACCTAGATGGTAGAACCTGTTCTTTGGGAGGGTTTTTGCAAGCTACAACACTCAAAGACAAGTGCTGAGGGTTGGGGGTGCTCCTGATGAAGAAGGAGCAGAAATGTGAGAGAATGCAATAGGGTAGACTGCTGTCAGCCTACAGAAGGATGGATGACAACTTAATTCAATGTCCTAAGCTGCACTGAGCTCAGGGAGGGCTTGGAGCAAAGTATATTGATGATAGACAAGGATAAGCAAAGTAGATGATAGTTAGACCCTTAATAAAGTCTCAACTATTGAAGCTGCTGAATGAATTACTGAGTGATGATAAAATGTGAGCAAGAGGGGCTCTCTGATGTCTTCTTTTTTGCTATCTAAGTACAGTGATTTATATACAGTACAGGGGTGTTGCCCTTGGAAAACAAGGTGCAAACACTTGGTAAGTGATTGGTAACTGATGAGTAAGGAATGTAAGCGATGGGTAATTGTCTTGGAAAGCATTGGTAAGCATTGGTAAGGATTAGCAAGCCAAAAAGTGAAGAATCAGTAAGCAAAGTCAAAAGATTGGTAAGTATTGGCAATAGGTGAGTCAAAGACAGTCAGAACATCAAAGTATGAGTCAAGTAATGTCAGGAACTGGGAAAGCGCACTGGAATCACATTAGGGGGAGGCTGTGCATGTCACATCTCAAAGAGATCACTTCTAGGCCAAGGTGGGATGACAGAGAGGCAGTGCTGATCTGATGCCAATATAGTACATCCAAAAGTGGACAGGGTGAGTCAGATGTCAACAGGGGTCAAGCTTTGGGGGTCTGTGGGGTGACAGGAGCATAGGGGATCGCAACTTTCCCCCCCAAACCATCCTCTCAGTGAAGCAAATAAAAACTTCATGAATGAGGCTCTGTTGGAAGAGAGGATGAATGGGGAGTGTCTTCTGCTGTATCTTGCAACAAGGAGGCAAGATGTGCATCATACTCATCATGGATGTGATCAGGGAGAGTGGAGAACAGTAGATTATACTGTGGCTGTTGCAATCTTGGAAGAATGATGGATGAGACCAGTATGAAGACATTGCAGGGAGCAGGGAGGAAGGATCCATATGTTTCTTGGACTGGAAAGACTGAAACAACCACATAAGACCTTTCCAAGCAAATGACAGACCTGAGGCAACCAAAGAACATCCTCCTAGAGGTCATACTGACAAAAAGAACATGCTGTCCAAGCTGGATGGGCTGAGAGGGCACAGACAAGGGTGGGATGTACCAGGATGCTTCAGGATGGAAGCTGGTAGGAACTCCTGGTAGATATATGTAGCCATGGTCCCTAGCAAAGGGGACAAGTGAAATGATTGATGTGGAGGCAGCCATATCAGAAGAATTTAGTGAAATGAGTGTCTTTTGGATGGAGTGCTGTAGAAATGTGTGGAGTGCACAAATCCTTTCCAATTTTGGAAGGTAAGATCACGTGGCTGAGCACTACAAGTGAGTGTGGGAATGGTCTTGGTATCTGCAGAAATGGTGGAGATATGTTGAAAACCAGAATGCCATACACAAGTGCTTAAGAATTTTAGCCAGCACTTAACTTGCTCCCTTTCTTTTTCTCTGGCACTGATGACTTGTTCTTGTGCAAGGGATGACTGCTGACATTCCTGGCTGTCCTTCTTCACATGAGGGCTATGGTCTTCATCTCCATTCATCAGCTGTATCCATGTCCACCTCACCAAACACCTTTGGTGTGTGACATCAGTCATGCACAGCTACTGATGATATATGAGGTGGTCATCAAGATTGGCTGGCCTGTAATGTCTCCAAGCAACACTGCTTGGAGGCAATGGAAATCAACAATACATGAAATCCTTTCACAAGTGTCAGCAATCATACCAGGAGGTATGGTATATCTCATCTCGCATCTTACAGTACTTAATCCCCCCCCCTGCAGAAGTGCTCTTGCCCACAACAGGGATAGAACACTTGGTAAGGATCATTGACATGAATGCACTCGAGCTATACTAATTTAATATACTACCAGCTGATGAAATCACTAACACTTTTTCATGCAGAATTGGCCAGAAAGGCCAGTCCTTATGCCAAGATGTTTTTCATGAATGATGATACAAGACTCTTCATGGACAAGGCCATTATTCAGTGGAAAAACAACATATGCACATGTATCACTGATGGAAGTGCTTTTACCTCTTTTTTCATGCATGAGCATGACACAGATGTAAGTCATACTTATGCTACATACCATTTGGACATTTACAATTATTTCTCAGGGGAAAATTGTCTGTTGGTATGGAAACCAACACCTCAAAGACTTCCACATTAACTTCTGGTATACTGCTGAGCTGACTCCCATGAAGGTCAGGGCTGCCAAGGATATACACACAACACCATTGCAGATGTATGCCCTAACTGCTGTAGCAGTAAGTACATTTACTAATAACTTTTCAAAAGCTCACAGCTCACAGCTGATAGTTGTTTTACACTATCAAATGTGAATCTGAGCATGTCAGAGAAATGTTGCCACACACTGCATTCATGGGCACTGAGTATTCACCCATATACGAAGTGTACTACCACTCTCTTCTCGAAGCAACTCAGAACCCCACTATCAGCATGGCAGTTAATCACCATCTGCTGTGGCTTCATCAATGCAGATTGTGAGTACTCTATGTATACTCCTATGAGCTAATTGACACACTGGACTAGGGAGAAAATGAAACCTGCAAACATCTTACATTCCCCCAAAAAACAACTGAATATGGTTTATATCCCCCCTGCACATGAGATTGCAGCTTATGAAAGCCACCTCACAAGTACATCGCATACTATTGTCCCCCCCATGACAGCTATACCCATCGTTCATCGAACTACATTGCATGAGGAGAGTGCATCAGGGAGCATGTCACAGGCCAGACCCAGCTCTTCTGCAAGCTGGTCCATGGGTGTCAAAGGATATGAACTGTTTTCTTACGATTATACTTATGAGATGTAGCATCCATTTTGTATCTTTCTGCCTGCCTCCAATTCTTGATTGATTTGTCAGCATCAATCTGAAAAATGAGCAGATGGATGGCATGAGTGATAATCTTATTATCAAATAAAATACAGAAGATAATGAGATCTGTGGATCTCATCCTGTCATTGCATCATGGATGACAAATCTTGGTCATAGACTGTTTTCTGACTTGTTGTAAGGTTTCAAAACCATTTTTTGTTCATGCTCGCGAATTACAGTTACAACTGGTCAGTGACTGGTTTAGACCAACTACTGGTTTACTGATGAATTCACACTGTCACACAGGCACCAGCTAGGGTTACACAGTTACACTGTACTGTACATATACTACACAGAACAAGTGCAGTCAATTTGCAGTGACCAGTATTCTGTCACTTAGATGGTGGCCCACCCATGATAAACTGCTTGATACCAATAATAGGCCAGGCTCAACACATCATATTATGTCAGTTTTGTAGTATGTATATTAGATGCAGCTCAGTACAAACCAATTTAGCTCATGGGCCTATCATGGCATTCTGTCATACATGCCAAGTCAAGTGCTGAGCTCGAGCACTTGATGTGGCACAGCGAGTCGTAGGGGATGCCAGAGCTGCCCCCCACCAACTTCTGAGGTTGCCCAACACACATTCACATTCCAAGAATAGCTGAGACCTCAAAGGCTCAAACTGCCAGCTCGTTATACTGATAAATCTTAGAGTAGGTCTACATCTCAATACCAATCGCAATCAGAGCCACCCAAAGGTCTAAGTGACGTTGACAGCACTCCCTTCGGACCCTGAGTTCAGTGCTGAAGGTGAGTCACCCCCTACATTTGCTTCCACATCCTGATGCCATCCTGCACAATCGACAAAGCCAGTGCTGTCATGAGCCATCAGACACTCTAAACGGCCGTCCCTGCCACCAAAGACGAGCTGCTGTGTTGGAGTTTATCACTTTTACCTTAGTTGTGGTTCACCAAGCACAGCATTATGTAATCCAAAAGCGGACACTTAGCAGTTTATTTTTTCTTTACTGCACCTCAGCTTCAACCAACTTGAAGTCTGAGGTGGGACTCCTTCCATTCATTATATTGGAACACTTACTTACCTACCTACATTATATTCCTCTCCATAGGTAGTTAATTGTTCAGCTTCAACCAACTTGAAGTCTGAGTATATTCCTCTCCATAGACTTGACAATCCTGCAGCTCATCATCCTCCAAAATGCTGCAACTGGGAGGCCAACAGAAAATTTGCAGTTCACCAGCACAGCCACCTGCAAATTTTCCGGAATAAACTGACTTTGCCTACTCTGGAGAGCATTTGTCATACTATGTAGGAGCAACTACTAGGTCCAAATTTCCAATGCCCACCATCCAACACATTCTTATCCTGTGTGGAAGGCTTGACATTCAGCAATGGTAACATGATCGATTGAACAGCCACCCCCAAATAGTTTTCACTGGTGAAGACTACCTGCAGTCTTAGTAGATAGTAGCAGAGTATGTGCGAGCAAGGGATGGTTGGCACCTGATATGTAATACAAACAAGGGGTAGCGCTCATCTGAGTTTTGGCTAGTTCTGGCCTATCAATATGAATTGCTGTATTATCAGGGTTCTGTGGAGTGACATTTAATGGGCCTACTGGAGTGGAAATCGCCACTTCGATTGTGATTAGCCCACCAACGGAGCTCCTAGAAGTGATACAGCAAGGTTCAATATATGGACAGATGAAAACCCCAACGAGCGCTTTTATTCAGTTTTGGAATAACTCATTTTAGTAAGCATCCAGCGAAGAGCGCTTGGTACTCCAGTGCTTCAAGCACTCAGCTTCAATTACCCGTAGACTGTCAATGCATGGTAGACAGTGGTAGCAGACCCTGTAATACGAGCCAGGTAATACATTGTTCATTGGCAACATTCCAAAATTTATAGCGCTCATTTGAGTTTTGGTCAGTCCTGGACTCATATTGATATGAACTTGCTGTAACTACACCCAGCAGCTGCACTGGCCCAAATCCACATGAGATCCTGTGCGTCCGGAAGTACCGCACACATGTAACCATGTGGACCAATGAACGAACGAAAGAAGTGACCAGAAATGGGGTGAAGGCTGAATTGAGAACCTTCAGCACATGAAGGCCTCAACGAGGTTGAGCGTCTTTCGATGGCCCCATCAGTATTGCACATTCCAAGCACAAATCAGATTCATCGCAAATGGTAAGGGAGGTTTCAGACCTCATTGTAATGGAGCCACCCTCAGTGATCAGATGGATCAATACTGTTAGATCGATAAGCAAGAACGTAACAGGCTATATGAATAACTTGCCATTGGTTCACATGGCTGCAGCGCTGAGATCATTGGGATTGGAACGTTGCGTTAAGGGTCCAAGCTGATGAGCCCTTCGTGCGATGCATATAAGAGGTCCAACTAAAGACCACTGATCCAATTGATATCGCTACATCTTCACATATACCTCAAGCATTTGTGCCTGGTATTCGGTGGTCGCCAATTCATTTGCATGATGTACGGATACTACTCCCCATTGTCGAGGATGGTTTGGGACTGACACACATGGACTTGTGTAGGATACGCCTCATCAACGTAAATGGCTTTCTTGAAAGGGAGAGATTGATTAGAGAGGGGGAGCCAATGGACAGTCAAACCAAGGTCTTCGAGCCTGGTGATGAAGCCACAAAGTATGCGATCGTATCCCATCGGTGGATAGAGGGTGCCGAAGTCGACTATCAGGAGATGACCAAACTCGCAGAGATGAAAGAGGCCAAGCAGAACGAAATTCGTGAGCGCCTTGGCTACAAGAAAATCATCAGAAGCTGTGAGCAAGCTCTGAGGGACGGGTACAAATACTTGTGGATCGACACTTGCTGCATCAACAAACCAGACATCTCCGAGCTCTCCAGGTCGATCAAATCCATGTACCGGTGGTATAAAAACTCAAGCGTATGCTATGCGTACCTCCATGACATTACCGACTTGTCCTTTCCCACTGCAAGTAGTGAGAAGAGGTACCCCGATTCCAAGGGCTGGCCAGTGTGGTTCTCCCGTGGCTGGACCCTACAGGAGATGATAGCCCCGGTGGATGTCTGGTTCTTTAACAAGGACTGGAAGGCCTTAGGTGACAAGAGGACGCTTGCACCTACCTTGTCTCGCATCACTCGAGTCCCACAACATATATTGACTGATAGATTCTCCCCCAATAATCGTCCCTGCGCTGCTCAGATCATGTCATGGGCCGCCGATCGGACGACGGGTGAAGTCGAAGACAAAGCATATTCCCTGTTCGGTCTGCTGGGTGTTAATATCCCAGTAATGTATGGAGAGGGGAAAGAAGCGTTCCGACGTCTTCAGCTGGAGTTCGTCAGGGAGGCGAACGATGGGAGCATTTTTGCATGGGGTTTCCACAGAGACAGCCAGCGGAGTGGCAGCATCCTCGCTGATGACCCAAGCTTCTTCCGTGGTTGTGAAAATATGGAGCTGATAACTCCTGACGAATACCTTCGACACCACAGATTTCAGATGCCCCAGCTCTGGTTGATGCCCTACATACGAAGGGACCGATATGATCCATGGGTCATGACCAATCGTGGCATTCAATGTCGCACATTCCTCCGACCCTGTGTTCACTCCCGCTTACACTTCGAAACCCCGCTCCCGTGCCGTTTCGGCCCATCGGGCCCACCCGTCTCCATCAAACTGGCTTTGTGGCAAGATGATTTCTACAGATATTTTACATCGCCAGAGGAGAAATTCCCTACGAAGTTTACTGCTCGGTAATGTGTGTTTCGCATATGAAGACTCGCTATTTCGCGATGCCATCCAGAATCCCCACGTGGGTGGACTCTTTCCTGTGCACAAGCCCTACAGTGTTGACATTGATATTGCTATTTTTAGAGAGAATTTGGCACCGTGCACGATATCACAGCAACTCGTATCCTGCGGGGTTGATTCGATCCGCTGGGTGCAGTTTCTGAGCTCGTTTATGATTTCGCGACGAGTCCGTTACACACAACGGGTGAACTTGCGCAAGGTTCGGTCTCCAGTGTGAAGACAATAAACCACAGGTTCTTTAAATGAGAGTTGGCATCCAGTCTATACAAACCAGGTGGACCTATGCTTCCCTTTCTGCTATGAGCCGTTTGTCATATTCAAGGTGTGAATCCAGACCATGCTTACAGTCATGCACTAGTTTGAGCTTCTGTTGTACTATCATCCATGTATCCGTATAACTACTCTACCCCATCCTTGTCCACGAGTTTGTAGTGACTAAGCCTCTAAGAATGACGAATGTTGAGCGTTCGAGGTCTCAGGCCCAGTGGAAAATGCTCGCAAGGGCTCGCCGCCCCGCCAAACATAGTATGTTTGGCAGGGCGGCGAGCCCTTGTTTCTTGCGGAAACCTGGCTCAGCCAGGTTTCCGCAAGAAATTAGCAGTAAAGCTCGGGCTCACTGGTAGCGCAAGGAAAGCAACCTGACTTCAATGAGCGCCCATCTACGCATTTCAAGTCGGCTACTCAAAACTAGACAACAATAAAATCGTAATTACACCTCCACATCTGCACTAGAAGATAGGGCCGTCGGGGACGGCAGACACCTTATTTACGGATGCCGACATAGATCCCCATGATTTACATGCATGTCTAATGATCGTATACTGTTCAACGGGGCATCGCTACCAGCCATATTCCTTGATATTCCTTGATTTACCATTAGCCTTGCTTAGGTTCACCATTCTAATGGCTTTATATAACATTGTAAAGCTATATCCATGTATACTGCTGGACTTGATGTCGCTCTGTTGTCAACTCCTCTGTCTCTGCGGCATTGCGCGCAATCTATGCAATTTCGGGTACTTCTTGCGGGAGAGTCTTCTTGCGGGAGAGTCCTTATCGTGCGTGGGGCTCGCTCTATGAAGTATGACCACACTTGTGGCATATTCTGACCTTATCTACTAGTCTCTGCATACTGACTGCCTTACTATGTTCTGCTTTGCTTATCTCCTAGTTTTCATACCGTCTAGCGGGTTAGTATGGCAACGGAGTCTATGACCATTAAATTTCTTTCAACCCCCTTGGTCGACAAAGGCACTACATCTGTTCATGAGGTTTCTTCAGGTCTCGTCGATGAAGAGGAGCACCAGGTATAACTTTACGCCGAAGCAGGGCTATTAAGACATTCACCGGTGCCTTCCGCCAGATGTATCTACGGGGAGGGGTGTGTAAGTCCTGCTCGTTTCCATTGCTTGAAGCTGTGTTCCTACCCCGCTCATCCAAGGCTCTCATGCGGAAGGCTGACAGGAGCGTCATGGCTTTGGCTGCAATAGGGTTTTTGGCGCTAGACCATTCCAATATCAGTCAGGCCAACACGTCTACTTTCCTCAAGGATTTTAAACTGACTACGGATGGTACGAATAGTACAACTTCATACTAACCCAACATGTTTGATAACCTGCTTTCAGATTTTGACCTGGAAAATAGCATCTTCCACCTCGCTTTCCTCTGTGCCGAATTCAGTTTATGGTACTTGACCCCCAACCTTACAGGGTGAGGGCGCAGTGATTTGTCTCTGTAACTCATCGTTTACCTAACTTAATAGGTTTTGGCGTGCTTTCCCAGTTTGAATTGACAGGACGAACGTTGTTTCATCTGCCGTGCACTCTTAGGATACGTGCTTCTGTATGTCATCTTCAGGGATTCTCTGAGATCTTGTTACCAGTCCTTTACAAGGGGGGACGGAGCACCCTATTCGACTTGCCCTGCTGTGGATATCCATGCACCTGTGCAGCATCGTTACCGGTTTCCTTGCCTTTGGCGTCAGGACCGCCGGTAAGGCTGGTTGGCGGTAAATTGGCTGATTATTGTTGACTTGTTGAACAGCGTCAACAGCTGGTTGTTTCTGATAGGGTATTTGAGTCGCCCATCCTTGATCCATTCTGTTTGACGTCATTAGCAGAGGCGGGATAACGCTTCTCATCGGTGTAGCCACTTTCTTCAGAATATGCCCACTTCTCCCACCCAGACCAAAAGGATGGCTTTATGAGAGAGGCGAAACTATCATGGTCAACAGAATCCTCAGAAATGACTCGACCAAAGTAATTAAACCGCTGCGCCAGTACCTGTGTCAGCCATGTTCAATCCTTTTGATGTGATATGCATAACAAGGAAGGACTATTGCTCAAGCGTCTTCGGACTGCTATTTGCGACTACAACCCATGGCCACTTTACATTTTGTGAGTTGATAACTTTGATTGTACAAGCTGGCTGTCACGAAATACAGAGGTCTGGAGTTTGGAATCCCTAGCAATCTACCGTCGACATACTTGACTCTTCTGTTCCGAGACACCGGGTGGGTAAGATACATCTGCAAAAGCTAAGCGTCAAGTTGGCTGCCAACTTGACGCTTAGCGTTTACCCGGTGAAGTAACAGTGCGTGCCGAGCTCTCAAACAATTCAAAAAACTGTCCAAAGTGCATGCTGTAATTCGACCGTTTTACAGATGTATGACGAGTTATTCTTCCGTTGTGTCACCAAGTATTACCAGGTTCAATACCTTCCAGAATAACCTTCATCGCTTCGCAAATATGTATATACGGCAGCGGTGCACCGAGATGTCTGGGGTCCCCCATATCATAAGTAATGTACGACATTGCAGACGAACGCGGTAATCGGATTACTACATTGATGCTGATACCTGCGCTGAACCGCTTTTCAAGCAGGAACGTGACTACCACTTAAGGTGCACGAAGGATGTGGAGAACAAATGGTTAGACTTTTGTTTCCGGCGCCAGTTACAGACGACAAACTTGGTCAAGCATCCAAGCAAGTAAAGGTGTGGGGGTATAAGTGAATGACAGAGAATGTTGTTGACGTGGATGATCGATGCACAATTGCCAAGTAGACATTGAGCACGTTCGTATTCATACCTTCTCAGTGCATCGAGTTGGAGCATCGAAGGTCGTATGTATTCAGGTCAAAGACGAGTTGGCGCTGTTGAGCAGAAGCCTGACAGATGTGCTCGAAGTGCACGCTTATTTTGAAAGTGTTGAATTGGCATTGGAGTAAGCCTCGACGAATGTCTTCCGCACTTGCATACGAGCACAGCGGTCGGTGGGTTGCAACTTAATTAAGTACGTTAAAGCACTACCGAGAAAGGGGGACCGAATACGCCACTCTTCGCCACCCGATGTGAAATGAATGCGGGTCCAGATCAGCACAACACAGTTATCTCCGTGTCGGTGGTTTTCCAATTAAAAGTCACACATGCAGAGGCGTCGAAACTTGGGTTCGTGTGAGTAGCTACCTTGGAAGGGAGACGACCTCCAGGTCCTTTCATGTCATAATGTTGGGAAGACCCAAGCCATTATTGACTCACCGGTCGAGGCTTTACCTGACATAGGGAAATTAAGCAATGGCCATTCCCTCGCATAGCAGGAGAACCCCAAAGTGTAAACCGTCCAGGTGACGTTGGCGAGCTGTGCACGTCAATTCATTAATTGGAAAATTGACGAATGAACAAGCCAGCGCTCTAGCTGTACAGGAGCTGTGCTGTATGATGACACATATGTATTCATTAAGTTAGGAAGCAAGACAGAGCGCGCGTTACGTAGTACTGCTCACCGAAAAGCAAGTAGGCTTCTGAGTGTGAACGAACAGAGCGAGTTGCGCGGAAGTACTGTTTCCCAAACTGCAACCCCTCTCTGTCATTATACATTAGATCAGGAAGTACTTACGTTGCAGAGGAACACCGCTGGTGGCTTAATACATGATAGTGCGATGTCTCGCGACAGGAGTGACCGGTGACCGTCCAGTGAGCTCAAAATGATTATGATCATTAAACTTCATGATGAGATTCGTAGCTGTACATCAGGGTGACGTCAAACCGCAGTCAAATCATATCTGGACAATCTCTCAAGGTTCCTTCTCGTTAGTTTGGGAACTGCCAAACGTGATTTGGCCAGCTGCAAATTGCAGAACGAATCCTGCGAGGACCGCAAACGGAAATGCGAACCAAGGTAGTATGGCCACAAGTTTCACTGGACAAACAAAATCTTTAGCGACAATGTCGGCATGCTATGAAGAGTGGCGACTTACAGTACCAAGCATCCTTGTAGTACGGGCTCAGTCCGAGAGCTTCCTCCATGTTTTGGACCTCAGATGCCGGAACAGGTATTCCGTTTAGCGTAGCGGTAACGTTGGCTTGACGTGTCGCAAAGATCACGTCAAATGGGATGAGGGTCGCCAGCAGCCAAAGGCCGCAAAAGTAGAGAAGCCATCCCTGGATCCGAAGGAAAAGTGCAGTGGTGCGGCGGGGAAAGAATACGAATACAATGAAAAGGGCAGAAAGGGCCACTTGGAGGGCGCAGCCAGTGAGAACGACTATTCCCACGTCGGAGATATCTAGTAGGAGGGGGGACATCTAAACAGTCCGTTCGTGTAATCCAGGATAATCTGATGGACGTTACCTTTGGTGTCGACATTCACGACTGTGCCCTGGGGTGCCGCGTCGTAAACTTGCTTCAACACTTGATTCGCCCTTTTGTTGGCTCTTCGTGAGGCAGTGGTCATACATGGCACAAGAGGGAGCAACTTACTTGACTCTCGCATTGATGCTCACTCCCAAGCCAACGACGGCGAAGGCGAACGAGAGGAAGAGGGCGGCGAGTCTCTGAAACTTCAAAGGCTGAGGGGCGGTGGACATCGCAATCGATAGGCTTAGAGAGAATCTGCGTCGTGTTTCTTCCTCTTATATGTACACCCGGCCGATAATAGCATGAGATCCGAAGTGCTTCTCCACTACCACCCAAGTCGGATCCGCATAAAGAGCGTTAAAGTAATCCGCGTGGATCGAACTTCTCCAGCGAGCCACGAACTGTCATTGGGATATGTTTGACAACCGTTAGGCTGGGCTGTCCGGCGTCGTCAGGTCAAATCGTACCGAAGCTGACTGTAAGCACCACATGCAACCGTTCCAAAGCCAAGCTCCAACCCTGTACTAGACTAAAGTGTACAATGTTTATGTAATCATTCCTTGTGTCACCACGGAAAATCCGGCAAATCAATCCGCGAGTCCCCGGTTCGTTGAGCCGATTTCCTACCTATCGTGTCGGCACGACGACCAGCTGTTTTGGACAATTCATTGCTATAGATGCCTTGACATCGAGGAGCAAGCAACGTGGAAGCTTGGCGGAAGGGAAACACCTACTAACCATATGTCACAAGGCTGTTGGCATGCTGACGAAGAGTTCTGAAGCGAAAGAAGGGGTTCAGTAGGACATACATCTTTTCCGGACTTGGGCGTCCGAGTCGTCTCGTTTGAAAGGTGGTAGCTAAACTATTTACTGTTTGAGTACAGCACTAAGCACCCATCAGTTTGGTCCTCCCAGCAAGGTGGTTCTACCCGCAAGTTCGTGTGGTTGGACCAAGCCTCGAAGCAACTGTTGGCTGTGGTGGGGTATGATCATCTTCAGATGGGCACTGCTATTGTGCGTGAACATCTTCATTCCATATTAGAGGTCAATAGTGTACCCCATTACCCAGTCTGCGACACGAGCATACCCAGGTGGATGAATTGTGGGCTGCTAACTTAACTACGCACATCCAAGTATTAGCAACAACTTCACAAGATCGCCGGCTGTATCTACATTAGCGGCGAATCGCATTAAAACATCTACGGATGCCTTTGAGCTTGCAGCGCTCTTTGTAAACGAGTCGAGGGACACCTAGGTGAAATGATCTGGATTGCAATCACCATCAGCATCACTCAAGGAAGCCTGCACCTGAGGATCAGGGTGGGACATGTTGGACAAAGATAGCCTTCCATTCGGGAGCCAGAAAACATCCATATTTTCTAGGGATGCTTCCCGCCAGTTGTCCAAAATGACAGTGTCCTTGGTATCCACCCTCTAACAATTATCAGCCCTGTTGGCTGATCAGCAAAACACACAAGCAACTTACTATATATAAGAAACTGCCATCTGCAGTCAGACAAAAGTATTTGTGCGACGTGGCATCGGGTGAGGACTGCCGTTTGCACAATTGCAAGCCCACTAAATCCAAGACACAGCAACTTCGTAACCATCTGGGAATGCGGGAAAACATTTCTATCGTCAAATGGTCAGTTGGCGAACCCACGAGCTGCACATGCAATAGTGGCCGCCCTACCTCCTGGTGCTTTGTGAGCCGTCTGGCAAGAACGTCGACTTCCCGGTACCTATCATGGCGGTAGCCTATTGATGGCGGCCCTCCGGGGCTTTCCCAATTGTCTACGGGGAAATATTTGAAGAATGAGTGATCGTGGAACATTCTTTCCCACTCGATCGGCAGGCTAAGCGTCAGCAGCAGGGTGGACACATATACCTATGCCTTCCCTAGATACAGACGCCCGAGGGCAGAGGAACATGCCGGTGACAGGAAGTGTTGATAATCATCCGTGAAAATGTCTTCAAGGCATGGAAATTCCAGACAGTTAAATTTGTCCATGATGTTGTCCAAGACTTCCGTGTCAGCAAGTTTAATGCACAAGCTACGCCAACGGTTTGCGTTGGGAATAAGAATGTCCAATAACGCGTCTATTGGACTGTCGGGGGCGGGCGAGCTAAGAATCGTGACACCCCAGCCAGATTCTTCCAGACTCTCGGAATAGGCGACCGCTTTGAATATCGAGATAGGTGCGGTGAATACTCGTAGCTGCACATCGGCGGGTTGCTCAGTATCTTCGTGAGAAGCTCGATGGGAAGACGATCATGATCGGAAGGGGTCGTGCCTTGACAAGTTCACTGATTTTGCGACTGAGTCTCAACAACCACGCAGGTGGCCAGGAGCTATTTGACGAAAGGAGCGAAGAGAAGTTACAATTTTCATGGAGAGCAGTCAACTCGACAGGCTTTTTCAAATGAGTAATGGGATTGAGACATCTCGTTCTAAAACAAGGGCACGAGGCCGGCTCCAGCGGCCACTGACGGAAGATGAGGGGAACGGGCTTTCTGTCTCTATCAGATTTCCGCTGGGACCACTACATACTGGGATCTAGAGTACTACGTATAGTGTAGTAATGATAGTAACCAGCGTATTCCTTTGCCTTTATTTTTGCTGAATGTGCAGACCGAGCGCTGAATCGAGGCTGGCCGGGTAATCTATGTAACCGGGGGAGAGAACTGACCGACGAACTTGAAGAATCAGAGGTCATCTTCCTCCCCATCGTTGACGTCCCCCACTCCCCCCAAGGACACACATCGGCTCATTAGTCCTCTTCGCATATCCACTGTCCAGCATCTTGCGCGAGACATGTACATATACAGTTGACTTGCTCATAATGCAAGAGGTTGTAATGTATAATTCTCATATTGTATTGACTTTTCGTCAGTCCCATTGTGGGCAGCAGGGAATTTGGAAAATTTTGGATAATGTATACTGTATTGGAACAGTGTGAGAAATATACATTATGATATATCCAATTTGGCAGGATGGGACAGCTCATTGTCCTGCAATCAGATACTTAATGAATGCAATCTGAGGTTAAGGTTACAGTAATTACCAACATCAATGATGCCTTCTGAGAAGCACAAACCAAGAGCCTGCAATCCCTACCAGGACAACCAACCTGTGAAGAAGCTGAGAAAGGCACTGGATGCTGCTCTGAGCCCTGCTACTTCTGCTCAGCTGGCACAGTCCACCACACGGTCAAACCTCACTCTCAGTGACTGGATGATTGTCTTTGCTTATGTTGATGCTCACCCAGCTCTTCCACAAAAGCAAGTTGTTGAGCACTTTCAAACCCTGAAGTCAGGGGCTCTCATCTTCACACAAGCTACTCTATCACGTAAACTCCATGGCCAACAGACATTAGAAGCTCGTATTAACCACAATCCTAATGCACTGTCTTCAAAGCGCCCTCATATTGTAACCAGACCAGATGTAGAGTGAGCCCTCATTCTTTGGGTTCACCATATGGAGAACAGGGGTGAGACAGTGTCAGGGCCCATGCTCCGAGAAAAGTGAGCCAAGTTTGAAAAGGAGTTCAATGTACCAGAGAACGAGAGGCTGCTTGGAGAAGGATGGATTCCATCTTTTTGCAAGGCATACAATCTTCGAGAGTGCAGGAGGCATGGTGAGGCTGGCTCAGTTGACTTAGAAGCAGTTGAAGCAGAACAGGCTCGATTTCGCCCAATATTGGCTAAGTTTGCACCAAGAGATCGCTTTAACTTCAACGAGACTGGTTTCTTCCCCTAGTAAGTCATACTCAATTATTGCTGACCAATTGCTGATTTGAAGCTACTGTCAGTGCTCCACCTGATCGAGGTCTTGCCACAAAGCAGATGAGTGGCAAAAAGAAGGAAAAATTCCACCTCACAATCGGCCTTGCTTGCAATGCTGATGGTAGTGAAAAGTTAGAGCCATTCTTTATTGGGAAATTTGGAAAGCCTCGCTGCTTCAAGAACCTGACCCCCGAGCAACGGGGATTTTATTATCGGTTCAACAAGAAAGCTTGGATGACAGCTGCATTATTTGAGGAGTAAGTCCCTTACCTTATCATTCAAAAATTGAAATATATTAAACTCCTATTTATTCATTAAGGTGGGTAAAGAAATTCAACCTCAGAATGAAACAGCAAAACCGTTATGTTTTGTTATCAATTGACAACTTCCCTGGCCATAAAATCAATTACGAGCCAACAAACATCAAGATTGAGTTTTTCAAACCAAAATTAACCTCATTTGTACAACCTTGTGATGCTGGAATTATTCGTTGCTTCAAAGCTATTTACTGCAACAATTTTTGTGCCCACAGCTGTTGAACTTGATGAAGCAGGCACACAAGAAATTTTCAAGATCAATCTCCTTGAAGCAATGCTAATGGCAAAGTCTGCATGGAATGCTGTCTCACAAGACACTATCAAGCACTGTTGGGACCACACAGAAATTCAGCCATGAGTTCATTGTTACCCGCAAACAAGATCTGCAAAGTTGCTGACTCTTGCACCAATGCTAGAGAAAGCCCAAATATGCAGGCCACATCAAGTTCATGTCCAGCTCATGCTGATTCCACTGGGTGGCAATTATTCATGAATTTGCGACAACAGAAATGAACTTGCCCGAAGCAGAAGCTCATTTGGAAGCTTGCCTTGGGAATTCCTATGTTGACACAGATTGGCATCCAGCTCTCACAGCGGTTATGGATGCTGAAGGAGATGTTGCTATAGCTGTGAAGGCCATTGAACCACTTGCTGATGCTGCTGCTTGTCGCACAGGCCTCAAAATTTGCATCCCTGCACTCACAAAACCACCCCCTGGCCAGTTATCTAATGCCAAGACAACTCTAATGACATCTGTCAGGCATCTCCAGCAATGGAATCGTGTATTTGAGCCATCCACACTGGAGGAGCTGGTGGACCCTGCTGAAGAACGAGAGACAAGCAGTACTGGCACTGGTGACTTAACTGATAAGGCAATTGCAGATTCTGTTCGTCAGGAACTGGCTGCTGCAAGTGGGGACATGATCGAGGTGGATTCAGACAGTGAAGAGGAGGAAGATTCAGGCCCCACTGTGACTCGCGAGAGTGTTCTGGTGCTCTGTGAAGAGCTCGAGAGTGTATGTATGGTATTTGGGGATGCTGGATTGTCACTTGACTTATCAAGGCAACTTCGCATATTCTGATCACACCTTCGGCAGGAAACATTTCTTCGTGCTAAGCAAACCTCCCTTGATACATACAATTTCACTGGATGAAATTGTTGCTCATACTGTAACCTACTCTCAGTGTATGGGTCACGAAATTGAACCGTCACATAAGTCACACTATGGGTGACTTTTCATATTGTATTTTGCTGATACTGTATCAGGCTTGATGTGGTCCCGTCGGTATACATTATGAGCGAATCAACTGTATCATCAATATTTATGTTGTCGACCTCAACAAACCACACATCCTTCAGGCAGCTCAGGTAATCCATCTGCACCCATCGCCATCCCGGGCGGAAGGGGACCCATTATCTCTTCGGGTGGTGATCCGTACGATTGCAACTGTAATGCAGACGTAAACGACCTTGTAGTGACGAGTAACAAAGGAGACATGAAGAACAAAGCGGAGAGAGCCTAGCGGCATATGCAAGAGAAGACAACTCACCTCGCCCATAATCTCGGTTATATTCTCCCTCGTCTTCGCATTCTCTTCGTCATATCCTTTGTCCTCGAAGATCGAGAGGAGTCGCTTGATACAGGATATTTGCTTTTCATATCTCTCCTTGTCCTCTGCGGGAAGTGCGGGGTGGGAGGTTAGGTACGAAGGGAACTGTAGCCATATTGCGACATGTGAATAGAGATCAATCAGAGGGGACTGCCACGACACATACCTTCTCGTCCAACTCCTTCAATGGCTCATAAAGGACATCTTTACTCATCAGCTGACCCATCATCGCTTCCAGCACACCAGTTAGTTCATCCCCCTCCCCAGGATTGAGACCTTGCAGAAGTGCGGCAAGCGATGGGTCGTCTGAGCCTGGGAATGCAGGCAAGGGTGAGGTGGTGGACGAGTTGAAGTCAGACTCGGAGGATTTCAGCTTGTCCATCGCATTCCTGATGCGGGATTGAAACGCATCACCAGCCGCGGCAGATGGTTTGTTAGGTTCTGGTTTACTTGTCGAAGGAGGCGGCATGGGACGCGTCCGTTGGGTTGTCGATGCTGTTGATGTCGATGCCGGTGCCGTACCTGGCATCTTGTTCATCTCTTCGACCAACATAGCCTCCCACGCAGCGCTCATCGCTCGATCTCTCTCTGTATCATCACGAGCGTCCAGATCAAGACCGCTGTTCTCAGCTAGCTCGCGCATGAGCGACTCCATACCCTTTGCAAACTCAGATGCAAAGGCAGAGGTGAGGGCGTCTTCATCGTTCTCATCTTCGCCCTTACTTAGATTGTCCTTCGAATTCTGTTCCGTTTTTTGCTCTTGTTTGGAAGCAGCAGCAACAGCAGCATTGTTGGTAGCGGATTTCGGCAGATTTTGCGACGGTTTGAATTGTTCGAGTACATCTGCAACGCAGTGGGTAAGTCAAACTAACATGACGACGATGTTTTGCGAGTGATCGTCTCAGGCCGATTGTGGAAAGGTGTAGGGACCGAAAGAGAGTGCTAACCGTCGAAGTCGTCGAAGTCATCGTCATTTTCGTCGATGTGTGGTTGAGGTTGATTAGTATTGGAAGGGTCAGACATGACAGAACTTGTAATCAGTTACGTACTGCCCAGCACTTGGGCCCCGGGTAAAGTCGTTCTTGCAAATAATCACGTGTGCTTTCTCGGTCCTCTTCGAAGTTCCCCAAGCATATAAAGTCCGACTGGGTGATTGGAACGAACCCTACCCTTCTGCATGACTTTCTGCGAGGTCATTCAAAGGTAAAACCCGGCTTACAATGAACTGCAGGTTAGCAATCGGCGTGAGTATCAGCAACAAAGCGAGAAGCAACCAGAAGGTATCTAAACGAATGCTATGATAATTGTAGTAACGACCGTACGAGTAGGTATATCTATGTCTTTATCTTTTTCTCTTCTTTTGCTAATAGGTGGTGTAATAGGTTGACCGCCGAATCGGCCGGTAGCCTAACAGGTTACGCACTCGAAGAATCCGACTCTTTGTCTTCCTCTCTATCGTCGACGTCCCCGGTCCCCCGCAAGGACACGCGTTCCTTCTGATACTCATGCCCAACGAAATTCATCACGCTACCGAACAAAAGGAACGCAAGATGAGCGCCACATTCAAAGATGGTTTGAGGAGGAGATTCAAGGAAAAGATACCGACTAGATCGTCCCGTCCGCGCATCCGACCACAACTTCCTCGTGGCTCAACTGCATTGACATCGGATTCTTCTCCGGAACAGCCAGACCCGCAAATTTACTCGGTGCAGTGCCTAGCAAGCCCTTGACTTTAGTCAGGTCTCCTCCACCGGCCTGGGCGAGAGCTGCCCAGGCTCCGCCGAGGGGTATAATATTTGCGTCGATGTCGACGACAGAGGCGGGAGAGCTGGAACGCTTCAGGTTGTCAGATACGCTTTCATCACCGTCTACGGTCGAGCCCATCCAGGGTTTCCCCTTCGTCTCTTAGCCAAGTCCACCGGTGCTGAATCTTTATCCTCAGTGAGTCGAGATCAGGATCTAGCTCGAGCCATCAAGTGTCAGCCCACACCCACTACCAAAGGTAGAATATATATATAGGCACAAACGCACTCACCCTGCGATCCGCACCTGCTCTCGAACTAAATCGAGTTGCAGTCACCACCCTCCTCTTTCTCGGGTCCACTGCGCCTACAGCTACGTCAGGCGTCTCAACCAACGCAATCAGTTTGGGGGGCGCTGTAAGTATCGCAGCACGACCGAATCGGATTGAGAATCCCTCCGCGCCAATGGCTCCGCTGCCTATAGGCGAAAGGGGTGTCCCTGCTCGAAGCGAGGCTGAAGAACCGGTCGGATGGGAAGTTATCGGCGACGCGAGGGAGTGTCGAGGTCTGGCCACGGTCATCGGAGTATTGCTGGTGGACATGCCAAGCGATTGTCTCGTAGGGATGGATATCGACGATGTCGATTTTGCCAGCGAGGAAGTTGTTCGGGCACGCGAGGTCGTCGGAGAAGACACACGTGTGTTGTTGCCTGTAGGGCTGATCAATCCACTTTCGATCACAGGTTTCCCTTCGTCTTCTGTCCATTGAAGATGCAGAATGATGGATTTTGTTGCACACTGGGGGTTCCACATAGTTAGCATGGTCGTGGCGATGTGTGCAGAAGACCTTACCGTCATTTGTGTACCTTTTGCCGCAAACCATTGTAACATGTTACTTGGCGCCGCTCCAACGTTCCACAACTTCGCACTGAGAAGAGGATCATTACTTCCTAGCTCTGAGAGTTTGAACTGAGAAATCATTTCTCTACGCTCTATAACTTGGTTAGACGATACTACTCGATTCAGGCAGGACACGCACTGATCGAGAAGACGCGCACGATCCCATCAATCGTGACGCTGACCACTCTTTCTCCCTCCTCTGCGTTCGGAGACCCAATGAGCTGAACACCAATATTCACGGTCGTCTGCTGCCCGAAGCGCACGATTTTGGTTCCCGCACGCCAGTCCCAGCACACGAGAGCTTTATCCGCCCCTGCGCTGACAAGATTGCGCGATGAAAGTGCGACAGCACGGATACCGTTCAAGTGTCCGGCGAGCTGCTGTAGAGGAGTGAAGGTGACCGAAGAGAAAAGGTGCACACGGCTTTCGTCCCGTGGTGAGTGGAATTTATACTCAATGCTTATCTATGCAACGTACCCAACATCGTGGAACCCAACAACGAAAACCTCTGTACTGGCGTATCAGCAAGGCCATACAAAGAACGGACACCGTACGAACCTTCCTCTGCCAAGAAGTCGACGCAGCTAACGGGCTTCTTGACCGACAAACATTTCTTCATTTCTCCCGTCTCAATGTCCCAGAATCGGATGGTTTCGTCATAAGACCCTGAGATGAGTCGTTTGCCTGCATCACGAAAGGATTCTAGATCAACATTCTCCTCGTATACAAGACTTGTACACACCTCTTAGGAGTAGAGTAGTGCAGAAGTTAGTGTGTCCGCTCAAGAACCTGACACTCTGAGGAAGACCATTTGCGAAGTTGGACTCGCGGTGGTGAAGCGAGCGGTACAAGGGGTACCTGGACCACATTGAGCGTCCAAGCTTGGAAAATATAAATGAAGCCAAAAAGCTCACCATCCTTCAGGTGTTGCGGGGGCTTTGACGGGTATTGGATCGTTTGCAGTCAAGCGCAAGCAGTGCCAGCGCCATAAGGCTGGATGCCGAGATAACGCGAACCATTTCTTCGACACCTTGAAATGGGAATCCGCATCAGCTACTGAGTTCGTGCGCATGCGTTGTTGCCGAATGATCAATGCGTAGCCCGCGTGCGATTGTGTAGACTCTTCAAAATTGTAACGAATAGACTCACCAAGCCGGCCTTCACGACTTCTTTTACACTCAAATGTCGAAAGATGCGTAACGCTAGGTTAGGTGCAAGCGAACCGACAATATCAAATGATGATTTGAGGTATTTCTGCAGAAGAAGGATCTGCAATGAGATATCCCCAGGTAAAAGCGCTGGATGCCATAGAAGCAGGGCAGGGCGCCGTCATATCAGTAACACAGTGGAACAAGACGAAGAACCACTGACAATCTAGTATTAGTCCGATCCTGTGACAGCAAAATGCCTGTTAGCCATAAACAATCCGAAGGAATTTTGGAGAATGCAGGGTGGGCAAGAGGTGATGAATGTCACTTACAGTCTCATGCGTGCTTCTCGCCCAAGCCTCCGCACCGCCTTCTTCACTTCTTTTTCATCAAAACCTCCTTTGCCATCCCCTTTCAACGTCCCCGCCAAGCCAGTTCCATCATCATCAACGATGTCACCATCATACCCACCCCAATAGCCTTTGACCTTTCTACCGCCACACACACATATCTCCCCAAAATCTTGCTCGGATTTATTTTGGGTACCTGATTGAAAGCGTTCTTTAAGAATGGATAGTTCAGCTTGGAGAGCATAAGCCTGCGCCGCGCTGCTCGCTTGGGCGCGTTCGAGCAGACGCCTGTAGGATGTCAGGCGGGAAAGGTGAAGGGTTCGCAGGTTATCGAGGGTAGATTCAAACTATTTCAGGCAGAGATCATGTAGTCAGTGAGCGGAATGACAACAGCCAAAAGATGATGCAGACGACAGCGCGGTGCAAGGTTGCTGCACACGTAGAACGGTTGAAAGTTCGAATCCGACAAGCAAGCTCACCTCCTCATCACCAGAGCCCTCCCCAACATCGGTTACCATATCTAAGGTCATTTCCTCTCCGTCATCATTCCATGGATACGCCTCGTCGTTAAGGCTCACAGCCCCAAGAGTACCGTTTCCTAGACTGAAAGTAAAGTCACCAGGAACGGTGGTACCACCCGTAGCGGCTGCATTTCTAGTCAGTTACCCGAGTGAATGAGAAGTAAAAATGCTTCCTACCAACGCGGGCGAGAGAAGAACCCGATCCGTGTCGCTGCACATGATGTTTTTCCGCAGAGCCAGGAACACCTTTGGAGGGTGTACCTTGGGGATGCGACGCTTTGACAGGAGTCTTCATACTCTTAGATGACCTTCCCGGAGTAACAACTGGGGATTTATTCACTTGCACTGGCGACTTGGATGGGGTCGTTTGTGATGGCGACTTCCCGGGTGTCCCATGTGTATCGGGTCTTTTCGGGGTACTCTGCTTGGCCACTGGCGGAAAAGCGCTAACGCTCGTAGTAGGTGCGTCGAGCATTAAATTGGCGTCGCCTCCTAGCGACAGTGCCTTTTGCATCCTTTTGACGGGGCTAGGCGAAGTAACAGTCATTGAAGGCGAGAGAACACTGTTGCCAGTTGAGAGAGAGTTGGAACGTGCCGAGGGCGCGTTACTTGACAGTCCATTCTTTTGTGAAGATCTGGAACGGTTTGAGGCGTCTGACATAACGCGGGTACGCGAAGGCGTGGCCGGCACGCCTGTGCGCGTGTTGTTGTCATTGGTGGAGATGACAGCCGCCATACCTCGAGGGAAAGAACTTGGCGGACCGATCAGTGACGTGTGTCTTCCCTTCTGAGGCGGGGTCGGGGAAGCGGGATCGACACCCCGCGTGTGAGCAGGGATGGAAAGACGGCGAGCTGACTGCGAGTCTGTGCTGGGAAATGCCGAAGTCGATTTCTTGATGGATAGCGGGGTTGACGTTGTCTTGGTTGAGCGACCCTTCATGTTTGACCTCACGGAGGCGATCGACAGCTTCGATGTCGAGATGGACGAGGAAGTCGACAAAGACGGTTTTACGGTTGTGCAGCCACTGACATCACTGCTCGCATTAGACAGTGCGCGTGGCTTTACCAGCGGGCTCAGCGACAAGCGTGTAGTATTTGTGGACGCCGTCGACCTTGAAACTGACAAACGCCTTCGCGGCGCGGAGGACTCAGAAGGCGCGGGCATTTCTGAGAATAGAGTTCAGTTCAACAAACTGGACTCTTTCCAAGGTATTAGTAGCAATAGAATGGGTATCTTGTCAGTAGTGTCGGGATACTAGGAAGGTATACGAATGTTGTTGCCTGTCGTCCCAAATGACGACAACAACTAACCATACCTCTGACATTCCCACGCTGTCTAACTCGGAACCAGATCGACAAAGCCCCTTTCTGGCTCGGATAGTCGATCGGTAGTGCAACAGACCCAAGCAAGACCTTTCCGTTCACGCCAACAATGAAGTCCATCCAGATCCACTTCGATATGAGAACAGTGACGCTGAACCAAATATCTTCGCACATATTGCTTTCTTAGCATCACACGCGCAGACAACAGGCCTCATACATGGTGTACGGCTTGGCACGAAGACTGGCGGGATATGCTGCAGTTTGCGGTAGTTCAAGGTCGTCGAAGGGCTGAACTCACGATCGCTTGTTGCTCAATTAAAGGCGCGAGGCATTCCTTTAATTATGATCTACCGGAATTGACAAGTTTATTAGTTTTGCCGCTAATCCACCCTAGGGACAGCAACTGCCGGCAGCGATTAACCTAGAGTGTATGTACCTAACCGTAGCTGACATATGGGTCCCACAAACGCGTGACGAAAGGTCAGCTAATATTTTCCTAGAGCAACATACAGCCTTACCGCTCTATCGTCGCTCTAAGATCATCCAAGCGTAGCTGAATTTCCCCCAACCGGGACACGAGGACGGCGTGCCTTTCCTGGAGCAACGAGATCGGATCTTCCCTCCATTTAACGTCTGAATACAGACTTGAAGGTTCTTGGGAAATGGCAGACTGCGATGCAGACGGTATGTTCAGAAGGCGGGCAGAGTAAGAGACCGTGGTCGTTGGTGTGACACTCCGGCGGCTCAACGTAGACATGGCAGAACCGGGCCGTGGGCTTGGGCTGGGACTTGGCGGTCCCTCCGACCCCGATTCCAAGCCCTGCAAGTCCAACGAAGCATTGACAGGGGGAAAGTCCGTAGAATCAAGGGACTTGGTAGACACAACTGGAGGTGGACCAAACCGCAACTCTTTCCTAATCGTGCTTGCACTGTTCCTGCTAAGCGAGTCTAGTATCCTTGGCTTACGGCCGCTCGCCAGGACCTTTTTCCGCGCACTCATACCAATACAATCGACTAGCTGTTGCATGGCCTCTCGGTCAGAAACAGCACGGCGGGCTGCTGTACAACGAATGGTGCTAGGGCGCGGGAGTGTGTGGTAGGCAGATAGGTTGTATGAGCGTATTGGCGTCGCAAATGCATTCAGGAGCGTCGATGGCACCCTCTCGAACCCGCCGGAAGACAACCTGGACTGAACGGGTCCCAAGGGTCGGGGAGTCATTGGAGTATCTGGCAAACCTCCCCTGACCGGACCAGCAGTTAACAGGAAAGCATACTTTGAAGGGCCCCAAGAAAATCCGATGAAAGCCGCCTCCGTCTGGAGAGAACTGGATATACTTCTAGTTCTGGAAACAGAGCGCAGTGCGGATACCCCAGATGAAGAATATTCAGAAGAAGATTGGAAAAGTGCGGAGAATGCGAAGGCATGTGATTGAGTATCTTCAGGTAACTCCGACACCGGTCCTCGTAATCCAGTTGATGGCATCGAGTAAACGAATTGCGGAACATGTATGCCAGCCGGCAGCATTTCTGAGAAGAACATTGCATCAAGCGATCCTTACACAATCTACAGCACCCCCCACCTTTACCGACCAGTGACCAGTCAACGTTCCCAAAAAAAGGGTGCTCCATAATCTCCATAACGCTGCATCGGCCAAGACGGCCCTCTCTATTTGTCAGCAGCCTAACCGCTCTCAGAACACCATAGAACCGATAATGCAGCAAGACGGACCTCCGCAATAAATCTCGACAACTTTCAGAAACTGCTAACGATTTATCAAATCTCAGACTCGTCTGTTAAAGATTTTACACCCGACACCGAAAGAACAAGGAAGGCACTCACTTCGTGATCCATTATCCGAAGATACGTCGTCCTGATATCTTTAGCAAAGAAGGGTGTAATTCCGAATGCAAGCTCATAGATCATCACCCCCAAACTCCACCAATCTGTTTCCAAACCACATATGCTATGCTGAGCGCGTGGAGTAGTAATAGAACTCTGGTCTGAAAGCTCGAGTGCCACCAGGGCATCTTCATGGGCTTGAAGTATTTCAGGTGATATATAATCGCATGTTCCACAAGGAACTAGACAGTACTGCTGAGGAATCAATTGACTGCCGTCTGCTTCGCGGGGTTGAAGTGGTGCCGCGGAACCAAAATCTATAAGTAATAACCGATAGTTGGATGTTAGGACGAAATTATGTGGTTTGATATCGCTGTCTGGCACGTCAGAGATATCACCTTTATTCCACCATTTCAGACTTACCGATGGGCGAATCCTTGAGAATGGCACCAGTGAATCGCATGGACTGCCTGTGGCACCCACCATAAAATGTCAGATTCAGATATTCTTCCATTCAGTGGACTTGACTCCAACACGTCCCATAAAGTACCTCCCTCAGCGTAATCCATGACGAGGCAGAGGTGGGAAGGCGTTTGATATGCACACAATAGATGAGGTACCCATAGCGAGTCTTGACGTTTGGATAGAAGTAGAATGTCACGCTCTATCTGAGGCGAGCATTGCTGGCAACAACAGCGGAATCAAGATAGGTTCTCTGAAGAATTGCAAGCTTTTACCTCGCGAGCTCGCAAAGCAAATGTTTTTTCGATAGACTTCCGTACGTATACACGCCCATCCAAAGTGCAGTTCACCACGTCGATCTGATGAGCATCGTAAGCTCCAAGTGATCCGAACGCAAAATAAGTGGTCGCACGACTCCAAATTGTCCGTGGTCTAAAGCACCGAGTACAGCGAGATCCTTGTCAGAGAAACGCAGAGAATCGATTTTGATCGTAGTCGCTGAAAACCGTCACAAACCGCAGTCAAAAAAAAAAAAAAACTCGAACTGCTACGCACACGTTTTCCCGACAACGTTTTGTCCATGCAAGACTCTGTCGAGCGCCAAACCCTCCTCACTGGTCGTCATCTTGAACCCGAAGAAGGGAACCCAGTAACACCTTGCGTTCCGCCCACGATAAAGACATGCATTAGGTCGCTTTCCTGAAGATGACCTAAAAACTGGAGGGAAAAAATATGCAGTGCTAGTATGAGGTGTGTTTGTATTGGTAAGTGAGTAGGGACTTTACAAGTGGCAGACGCGTTGTTTGTCTTGGTTGACGTAGAACATAAGTGCAGCTTATGTAAACTCAACAGGTAGCTTTGAATTTGCTTTCCTTAATTCCAAGGGTCCACCAGTGGGTCTCCAGCACGAAGCGCTTGCGAGTGGAGCTGCCAAGCTGGAATGACGAGCGGTGGTGGGCGACGATCGGAATCTACCAGCACCCCATATTTCATCATGCAAACTCAACGCTTAATCGATTACCATGGAAGTCTTTCTCAAGGACGATCTACGCTGGTCCACGATTGGTATATCAATAACATCAGGAAACGGGTGCCCGAAAAACGAGCATGAGGGTATATAACTGTACACGTATTTTTGATCTCGCATTCCCCCTTCACACCCCAGATGCCCTCTTCATCCTTAAAGCCATCTATTGGAATGCCGGCGTGGACCGATGAACTCCTCCGAAAATCGTTGTTGGCAGAGGACATTATCGATGCTCATTTTCATCTGTTTTCCCGCAGATCAAGGTCGAGAGTACTCCATCCGCGTACGTTAAATGCCAACACCGCTCTCCTCAAGAGCAGTGCAAAGTACTTCGACGATCGTGAGCTCTATTAGTACTACGACATCCTAGTAGTTACTGATCGCTCTTGATCAGTATTCAGCTCGAATGTCATTCCATCTGACGCGGTGATAATCAATGTGAAGACAACGGATGTTGTCTTTGATGGGCTTCAGCTGGATGACTATGGTTATGGAAGTGACAGCGACCTCGAAGACGAGGACGACGGCACCATTGTCAAAAGTGATACTGGTTAGTGCACCCAGTACACCTTTTAACATTGGTGCTATAGTGCCCAGGAGACGTCTTACTATCATCAACCCACTCACGTGTGGCCACAGGTTCCGATTATGACGATAGGGACTCACATCCCTACTTAGCGGATACATCAAGTTCTGCTGGAGATTATACCTTTCCCGTCCAACAGAATGGCTTAGACGCGACCAGTCCAATGTTATCGTGGGGTTCCCAGAATGTCCAGCCTAACAGCATGACATCGTTGTCTGACCGGGGCTGCCATGTCTTTGTCAAGGATACCGCATTTGAGACGTATGTTGTGCCTCCACCAAAGATGTATGGCTGACTTACACCCTGTAGATGGTACTCCCTCATGTACTATCTCTACACAGGTAATATTGCATTTTCGCCTCTCAAGTCGTCGGGCCCACAAGGGCCTCAAAGATTTTCTCGCACGGCAAAGCCAAGGCCGCAATGCTCGGCAAAGTCGATGTACAGCCTAGCGACCAAGGTTTGGGCAAATCTCAGTTTCTGTCGAGGCATTTCCTGACGGGTTACAATCTAGCTCGGTATCGAAAAACTCCGTGATCAGGCCTTTGCTTCTATTCGTAGCAGTGTGGATGAAAAAAACTTATTACAAGAACTGGCGTGCAGTTTTGCCGGAAAGTTCGTGTACCTTTCATATGTCCTCCGCATTCCTTACGAGCGACGCTGCAAGCAGGTATCCGCCCATTCTGGAAATGGAACTTGATTTACTTGCGCGAAAGATAGCAAGTGCATCCATCGTCGAAGGTTTCCCTGACCTCATGAAACGGATTGCTCAGAAAGAGCTGTCCCATGGTGCCGATATTATGATTGGACTCCACTCACGGATTCTTCACAAGCACTATTTATCTCAACAACCTGCTCGAGCCCCCTTGCCCCGGCGTGAATCAGTCGAGTCTATCACAGTCCTGCCCCCACCACTTAAGGAAATTCCTGTTAAGACATCGCCTCAGCAAAATTTTTGGTTCTGACTGCCGTCTATCTGGTTCAACTGCACTAAACTTTTAGGGATACTGGAGTCAGACATTGGGGTCTACGTATATACTTGGCACGCTGTCAATCACATCACAGCCGAAAATGTCCGCATTTGCCTTAGGCTTGCCTCGGACTTTGTCCTGCATAAACGGAGCCGATCATGTTAGAGCTCCGGGAATCTGCCTCGTTTTAAGATGCAGTCACCTCCTGTTGTGTGTATTAGTGTCAGGCAAGGAGACTCGTTACATCGTGGTATGTTGTGATTCTCGGCATTTACTCGGACAAGTCGAGGGTGCACTTGCCAGTGCCCGATCGTTCGCTAAGCCTTGCTGAATGTCTTAATAGCACATAGAATTCCTCGGGTACCGAGAATGGGGACTGCTGTGTTTCCTGAAAGAGACCCACGCACTTTACCATTTGTTATACCTGCTCTGCAGCAAGCAACAGTTACACCAACTATAATCACGCGCGGATCGATACCTTAGTGTGGTAAACCACTGTTCGACATGGCAGACAGTCATAATAATTGGTAATTATGGAACTTTGAGTACGCTTACCGACGTTTGCAGGCCATCTGGTTCGAGACGACCGACAACAAAGTCATGTCACATTCCGCCCAGCAACTTTGTAAGGGTTCCGCTCAGCGAGTCTACTTATACACGAGGTATCCATCCCCGGAAATTGTACCGACAAAGCAGTATGCACGCAGCCGGGTGTGGTGATGGAGCAACGATTCGGAGGTGCACTTCTAGGTTTCAGCAGGTGCTCATATTATCTTTGGTTGAGGAGGTCCTCTGCCACCACTATACAAGGCGAGACATCCATCCTACTTTAGCCAAAAGCCATGAGGATGATCGCACAGGCTGGCCACCTGTTTGCCTCCGGGAAGGTAACTTTGTTGATAGTAATAGGGCAATTGCAAGTTCTACAGCTAGATAAATCTGTACCAGAAGTAAAGAAGCGTGGTAATCAGTATTTGCGATGTCCCAACATCAAATTTCAGTTTCATGCATCAATTTCATTCGCATAAATATTTACGATGCAGGTCGGGTGACCAGCTGCATTGACAAATCAGAGCGTATAGATGCGTAAACTGAGTAACTGATCCGATATCGACAGCCTCGAACTTGGGTGTGATTCTGTGAGCCAGTCGACTGGGGACTAGTTATTTATATAACAGCGTCTGTACTCAGAGGAAGTGAATAATGGCATGCGAGTCGAAGGCAACAGCAACAGCAGTACTGTCAGAGTAGAATTTTACTTTGGGCGGGCACGCGAGTACTTATGCCATCATAGGCGTCATATGCAGTCTAAGTCAAGCAACAGAGACTGACGTTAAGAAAGATATGCATTTAAAGGCAAAGCCTCAACAATCTCATTAATGAGCCATATCTCCGAACAGTTAAACCTTGTGGTGCTACATTGCAGCCACGGGATGCGCGCACGAGTGAATGCCCATCACAGGGACCGATACTTGGATAGCGACGGCTGTTCCAATCCACTATTTGTGTTCTGTGAGACATGTGTAAGAGTTAGACTCAGCATAAAGTTGTTTGTTACAAACGCACTCTCATTTGAGCTGAGATGCCTCGATCAATGGGGTCATTGGCCGAATTCATCGGGTCTCCCAAGGAAGGGGAGTCAGGTTTGTGGATATTTGTCCCCCTTATGTGTCGAAGGTGTACTTCGCGAATATGGCGCGGAAATGTGTGCCGAGTAACTTTTTTGACACACCCACTCCACTCGCAATGGATCACCTTCTTACGAGACTTGTTCTCTATGCCATGGGCAATAAAGTGGCTTGGAACTGTGGCACAGTTGATCTCTTGCAGACATGGAGTCCCATCTACACTTGGATAGAGGCATCGTCCTGGCGGGCAATTGGCGAACTGAGTTTCCTGTAAGCACGATGCCGAATGGAGGCATGGCATGAGAAACCGCCTCCCACAAGGAATTAAACAACTGTTGCTTACATTGGCCGGGGCTTGTACTGCATTTTGTGGAGGCACACTGTAAGAGTTATCCGGTGTGGCCGATCCTAGTTCTGTTGCCCAAGCGGTATAATTAGGTATGTGAGTTACGCTGCGGTGCACTACTTGGCTTGTTTCCAAGGTGCACTGGACAGAGTCACTGAACGAATACGATTCGCTGACGAGAGCTTCTGCCGCGACCAAAAAAGGAACGAATCTGATGATGGCTGACCTTGTAATGATATATGTACTCTCCCTTTTCCTGGACAAGTAGGGTCTATTTTGGGGACGAGTTTCTGTACTGACTTTGAACAAACACGAAGTGAGCTGCGGATAGTAGCGTACTGGTTGAGCGAGTGGAAAGTAAGTGTCCCCCACGGCACCGTCCAGCGTGTAGGATTTACTTAATAGGTGCGTCCTGAGAAGGGCCGAACAAAGGTCGGACGAGTTAGAGTGGTCGGGGTGCACGGACGATTTGTCTGGGCTGGGATGCATGCTTGCTTTGTGAGTGAATGCTCCCCCCCCCATTTCTGCGAGTTTTTATAGGTCCATATGTGATACAGGCGCCATTGGACGGCCCCCCGCGGATACTCGGCCAGGACAGAGGAAGTGAGCATAGGACGGCAATAAAACATTCTACCAGCACATCGCGGCTACGAACTTTATTCCAAACGTAGCAGGGAATTATTCCACAGATAAGAACTGAGAGGAACGCCTGTAGATATTTAGGTACTCTGAGCATGTTGGCTAGGTCGCACCTTTACATCAGACCGGGTTCGATTTTCATATCATAGGCCCATGGCGTGGTTGAACTATGGCGTGCAGTGTGCAGGGTAGGTGCTTCTCTGGCATCTCGTGGTCGCGACTACAGTGTCAGTGGCCCATCATCGAGTCATCGGTTATTTCATTTCTGCGGACCGCACAGCACTATTCTCGAGGCAGATCCCGTTTCGTTACTGCACAACGGCGGACTCGGTCACGTCACGCTATTGGCTACCACCTTCGGCGTCCCACTTCGGTTGCCGCTCAAGTGATCGAGAAAATGGAAATTTCCGTATTATGTAACTCTATCCCGATCACTCGTGCATGCATGATTATGTAATTGTTGAGCCGCACTCATCATTAACGCAATAAGATACCGATTACTGGCAGAAGTAGTAACTCCGCACTGCTGATAGGGGAGTCACTTCACATCGTGGATAGGATCTGACCGTACTGATGCAATTTTCATTTAGCGAGGCTGGATAAATAGATGACGGGCTTGGTCGCTGCGTGGTTCACTGAGCGTACTCATATGTAGCTTGCCAAAGATTATCATCAACATTACGTAATCGAAAACCTTGGCGTCTCAACATCTCAATCTGAGAGACAGCTTGGCAAGAGACATGCGGACGACGGTCATGATCGTTCACAACGTTGGACACAGGACATCTCAGGGAAGCCTTATCTATTGTGCGCTCGAGTTTAGCGAGCGCGGAAGATAGCTTGCAGTAAGTCACTTCCAAACGGAGGTTGGTATAGGTGTCCACGACCGGCGGACGACGGCCATGATGCATGATCGCCCACCTGGCCCAATGGCTCCTGTACACTATCACAGACTACCCAAGGGAATCCTCACCATTTTCCACTCGTCGCCCCCACGTATATCGCGCGACCTCGCCTAAGCCTCATGGCCTCATTTCTCACTCGCTGTCAACGTGCTCTCCTTCGATCATACAAAGTTTTGGGCCCTGTCGTCGATTCTTGAAGTAGTCCGTCTAGTCAAAGCCGGTACACTTACTACGAATTCGGTGAGCCGGGCCGATTGTGACCGACTCAATGAACGCGAGGCATCATCCAACGTCCGCGGCCATGTGTTTCAGGAGTCAGATTCCTTGACGATGACCACATAGTGTTTTCGTTCATGCGGCTGTGACCAGTGTAAACTGCGGTGATTTTCTATCACCCGTGTGAATTGACTTGCCTGCAGCGATATGTCCAGTTGCTATACGTTTCTCTCATGTGTAGCCTCAAGAACTCCCAAGCACCGTGACGTCCAGCAGGAATGGGATTGGATTGGCTGCTATTTGCTGACAATGCCCCACCAGCGGCGGCCTGCAGTCCTCCAGATGTAACTTACGGCAATTGACTAGAAAGGGAGAACAACTGCTATTCTGCCACATGCGCTTCGCTGCTGTACTAACACGAGTCTGGATAGTTGGCATCACCCGCCCTGCAAGAGTGGCGGGTACTGGATTGTGACAACCCAATAACTGTGCGGACCGGGTCCTGGGCCAATCATCGATGTACACGATACGGTTCATGGCACAATAACACATTCATATGAAGCATGTGTAAACGCGAACGATCTGGAATTTCGTCGTGGAAATGTGGTGCTAACCGTAAATTGTTCCGGGACGTCGAACAGTTGTGGTCTAGAAACATCTTTGAATACGAATAGTTTTTCCGGGCCATCCGTTCCGGTGGGGTGGGCCCCGGATTGGGACTAAAATGAACATCTAGTGGGTCGACGTAGAAGGCGTTGGAGGGCATTTATTTAGTAATTCATAGAATGCGTCTAGCCCCTGGATGTTGCATCAAGGAAATGTCCGGTGCGAATTTCGTTTGCTTGTTGGATCCTTGCGGTCCTTGAGACGCGAGAAGCAGAGGTCCTGCTGAACACTTGAAATATCGATTTGATATCGATTCACCTCCCAATTTCGAGCACTCCATAATCTACATACTTGTTGCTGTTCCTCCCCTCGATCGGGCATGGCGAGCAGATAACTCGAGCGTGGCATGGTTCATGGCAATACCCTTAGTACTCGTTTACGACCTCCGTCACAGAAGTGCAACGACTTGTCAACGAGCCAAACGTTATCACAGGCTACTGTAATTGTAATCGGCCTTCCTATCCTCGCCTTTACTTCTTCGAGCGTTGCCCCCCTCCAGCAGTTCCGTCAATTCAGGTTTACCATTATCCCTATCGACATAAACTGCCAACTCTGTGATAACCTGGCTGACAGTTCGAGCTCCAGTAAGTGGGACACTGCATTGCTTGAGGGTTACCATCCTCCGCGCAATGCTCCGTTGCCGCAATAACTTTGGTCTTGTCGAGGTTAGAGACAAGGGCCATTGCTCTGCCAATTCCTAGGATGTATGTTCAGAATGCTCAACCCGGATCACTGCAATGGATTTAATTGAATCTAGTCTCATTTAGTGAACTCACTGAGTTATCCCCGTTATTTTTCGTACAAACGAAATATCGACACTCCTGGCAATAGTGTCACAGTATTCTTGTCTGCGTTGAGGATATCCCTAGGGTTTACAGCGCCTCAGAGACTGCCAAGAAGCACAAGTTGTCCCTCCGTTGGATAAGCGCCCGTACCTAAGATACCATTCTCGCTCTGCAACCAAAACGTTGTATGCCAAGGTCACATTCTCAATCCGCTTAGGGTCTGTAGTGCGAGTGCTTTGGTTAACATACATTCCTGGTAGATATATGGCCTGTAGCGAGCGTGAACTAACCAGGATGAGTTGGTTAGCCTGCAGGCACAGATCTGTACATGGTGGAAGGAACTGTAGAAACTGATTCCTCCCTTCAACAACAGTCAACTTGATATTTTTCGCCATGACACTACCGAAGCTATTCTGCATGTATCTTGTGCAAAATAAAGCAGAGAGCGCAGATGTCGGTCGATATTTTTACCAGAAGATGAAGTTGCTGACTCTCCACAACTGGATGAATGCAACATTGTGGAGATTGCTGTTGCTATGTGTACATTGAACTCAGGGCTGTCTTTCTTGACTCCCAGTTGTTGGAGATATATTCTCCCCTGTGTTTCTGCCTGCTTTGGTGCGATGTTTGGTTGCTTACATAAGCAATTAGAGCGCACTTACTGCACAGTCATTACACTGTTCCCTCAGTAGATTGTTCACTACTGAGGTTGCCTACAGATATTTCCACACTAGTATCTTTACTCCATTTGCAAAGCTGCCTTGTTGTGCCACACAGAGGTGGCTCCTTCCTCTATTGTGACTGATGTACCAGTAGGAGTCTGCAGGAACCCACAACTCTGGGAAAAATGCCCTGAGGATAGAGATCAAGTGGTATCTATCCATTGAGATACTGTACTTTGAACCTCTTATTGCTGTAACAGCTGTTAGGAACAGTTGGTGCTTTCTGTAAAGCACCACATCCACTCTCCTGGTGTTATGCCTGAGCCAAGTGACTTTGTCAAATGGACTAGTCATGAGTGATGCAAGGGGGAGTCTATGGGCTGAACTTATTGTTACCCCTATGGCTCAGTTATTGATGAGGTCTGACAAAGGTTTCTTCCACTGGCAAGTTCTTCTGAGATTGTGATGGGGAAGGAACAAGGATGAAATCAAAGGAATAAGCTGAGTTGCAAGCTATTGAAAAACTGAAGATACATGGTATGGTACAGCTGTATAAATACCTCAGGACAAGAATACCATACCAGTCATGCCATCTAGGTGGTAAGTATCTGCAGCAGTAAACAATGAAATAGAAACAAGTCATACAGTGTCAAAGATGGGGGTAGACAAGGAAACAAGGGCTATACTGGCTGTGCCATCAATGCACAGTGAGGAGCCTGACACTGGAGCAAGAAGTAAATGATCAGGGCAATAAATACAATGTAGGAAAAGTCCAAGTAGCTGTATGATACAAGCTAGATGGCTTTAGGAAACAACAATAAAATGAAGGGAATGAATTGCTCATCCCAAGGGATTCTGGACTGTTGAAACTAGAAGGTGGGACTCAGTGCTTTGTAGTGGTAGTGACTTGTGATGTGTGCAGTGTGGTCCACAGAGTAGTACTGGTGATGTGAGCGGTGCAAGCAGTATATGTAGTTCATGTGCAGCAGTATACAAGATGTGCAGTGTAGACAAAGTGAAAAAGAAACTTGTAGTGACCTTCTGAGTGCCAAAGGGTATCATTCTGTACCTAAGTACAGGGCTTTATAGTCTGGGAAACCCAGAACCTAAGTAAGACAGGGTACAGGTAAAGGAAAGCCATGTGACAGTGCATCAACACAAGACAGACCTGAACAGAGGCCAAGGGTATACTACCAATGAAAAGGGAACAGTGACCATGTTAAAAAAGAAAGAGTCCAAAGGAAGGGAAGCAAGCAGAGCACAGAAGCCATGGGTATAGCATTGTGTGAGAGGGAGTGAGGGCATGGGAAGGTAGTGAGGTAGGTGGGAAGACAGCATGTGAATGGTGGTGCATGCAAGTGGTCTGGAGACATAATGATAGTTGCAGAATGGTTGATGATAGGCACTTACATGTCCAAGGAATGTGGATTCCTTACAATGAGTCAGAGACAAAGTATGAAATTGACTGTTCATCAAAGATGGAGGTGAAACACCAGATCTCCTACAGGTGCACAGCATCAGAGGGCATTGGAAATACCATGACCACCAGAGATCTGAGGTGTCCTTCAAGCATAGACACCCCTAACATGATGATGCATCAGTAAAGCTAAGCATTCAAAAACCTGGGTTTTCAAGTGCTTAATGTTTGCCAGTGTTTGCCAAGCATTCAAAAACTGTCTAATGTGTATGCCATAATTTGGCTGAATTTACTGATGTGGTTATGAGAGACATGAGCAGGCACATGATGCACATGACCACAATAAGCTGAAAAAGGAAGGACCCCTGACATGGGCATAACATCACCCCCCTCTAAGGTCCTCAAACCCTTGAGGATGAGCCACACATATTGGGATTGGTGGCAGAAAGGGGTTGGCAAGTAGTATAGACATGGGAACAAGTGTGAGAGGTGACAGGTGATGGAGGCAATGGAGACAGTGGCTCCTTGAGGGATGGAGTATACTTGGAGCCATGCCTGTTATGGCAGGACCAATGCCCCAGGTAGTGGCATTGAAAGCAAGCATGGGGGTGGAGCAGGTGTCCCTTGGGTACCAGGGATTGTCCTCCAAGGTAGAACTGAAGTTGATCAGCAGGGATGGGGATGAAGGGAGTCACAGGAAGAGTGTTGGTGGTGTGGATAGCATTGAAGTAGTTTTTATGGCTTCTGGCCCATGATGCATCCTGAAGTAAAACCTCCCAAGCAGAGTTGTGAGTTCCCATTCCAATTTGGAGACCAACCTGCTTAAATATGGTCCTGTTATCAGCATAATCTATCAGCACCACCCATTCCACCTCCCTCTGCTTCTCTTCCTTTTGATCTGGGATGATCACCTCTTCTTTTGGCTTTATGTGATCAAGAAGTTGAGAAGCAGAGGAAGTGAGGAACTCTCTGAACTGTTGGTTAAGAAGGTGATGGTACATGCCTCCAGTTATGGCTTCTAGAACCTCTGAGTAGCCATGTTTGAGCATGTTGATCATGATAACCTCCAACAGGGGAGCAGTCCCACTCAACTTTCAGGTGCATATCTTCTAAATGCATTGACTGATTACATCTGATGCTCCATATATTTCAGACAGCAGCCCAAAATACTTAACTTGTTCTGGTGAGCACCCATCAATGTTGTCCCCTTCATGGAAGATGTCAAGTGCCCTAACAACATCCAGGTAGTCACTTGCTGCAATTGGTAATTGTGGCTCATCATCCCTGGCAGTGGTGACTGTGGTGAGGAGATCAAGGGTGGCACTGTGGGCCCCATCAGAGTAGGTTGTAAAGGCAGTGCAAATGTCAGGAGCCCAGGTAGCATAGGAGCCACCAGTTGAGGCTCCTCCTTTATTGGTGTCATCGCTAGGCTCCTCTTTATCCTTTCCCTTTCCTTCTGGCTTACTGGTTCCACTAGGGGAACCTCTGGGCTTTGGGGCCAGTACTCAGTGGACCAAGAAGCCCTGGTGTGGACACAGTCATAGAGGGTGGGCAACAGGGGGCAAGGGTACCTGGAGCTGTGAGACTGGGGATGAGGCATCCAAGTCAGGAACACAGGTGTTGGTTGACAGGGGAGGGGATGATGTATAGATGGTGATGGGGGGCATGAGTAGTTTGGGCCAGTCACTTGTGGGGTCATAAAGGGATTCACAGGGGAGGTTGGCATAGTCATTTTCAGTGTTAACAGAGTGAGGGGAGTCCATTTAATTCCTGAGGTGATGAGTGAGCTTGTACTGGTTGAGGGCTTCTGAGGCATGGTCCTTTATATGTTCCTCAGGTTCCCAAGTATTTGATGAATGTGGAAACCCTTTCCACTTGACTAAGTACTTGCACTGTCCTCAATGACCATCAGTTTTGTGACTGATTATTGACTCAACCTCCCATTCAATTTCATCATCCACCAACTCAGGCAATGGTGCTGTGGGCACTGTGAGTCAAAGTGTGGTTCAGTGGTGAAAACCAACCAAAACCAACACAAAAGACAACAAAAGTGAGTGGTGGTGTGCCTATGTGGTACCTAGATGGTAGAACCTGTTTTTTTTTGGGAGGGTTTCTGCAAGCCACAACACTCAAAGATGAGTGCTGAGGGTTGGGGGTGCTCCTGACAAAGAGGGAGCAAGACTGTGATAGAAAGCGATAGAGTAGACTGCTGTCAGCCTACAGAAGGATGGATGGTGACTTAATTCGATGTCCTAAGCTGTACTGAGCTCAGGGAGGGCTTGGAGCGAAGTATATGGATGATAGATGATAATAAGTGAAGTAGATGATAGCTAGACCCTTAATAAAGTCTCAACTATCGAAGCTGATGAATGATTTACTGAGAGATGATAAATTGCAAGCAAGAGGGGCTCTCTGATGTCTTTTTTTGCTACCTAAGTACAGTGACTTATATACAGTACAGGGGTGTTGCCTATGGAAAACAAGGTGTAAACACTTGGTAAGCAATTGGTAACTGATGAGTAAGGAATGTAAGCGATGGGTAATCATCTTGGAAAGCATTGGTAAGCATTGGTAAGGATAAGTAAGCCAAAAAGTGAAGAATCAGTAAGCAAAGTCAAAAGATTGGTAAGTATTTGCAATAGGTGAGTCAAAGACAGTCAGAATGTCACAGTATGAGTCAAGTAATGTCAGGAACTGGGAAAGTGCACTGGAATTGCATCAGGGGGAGGCTGTGCATGTCACATCTTGAAGAGATCACTTCTAGGCCAAAGTGGGATGACAGAGAGGCAGTGCTGATCTGATGCCAATATAGTACATCCAAAAGTGGACAGGGTGAGTCAGATGTCAACAGGGGTCAAGCCTTGGGGGTCTGTGGGGTGACAGGAGCATAGGGGATTGCAACTTTCCCCCCCAAACCATCCTCTCAGTGAAGCAAATAAAAACTTCATGAATGAGGCTCTGTTGGAAGAGAGGATGAAGGGGGAGTGTCTTCTGCTGTATCTTGCAACAAGGAGGCAAGATGTGCATCATACTCATCATGGATGCAATCAGGGAGAGTGGAGAACAGTAGATTATACTGTAGCTGTCGCAATTTTGGAAGAATGATGGACAAGACTGGTATGAAGATGTTGCAGGGGGCAGGGAGGAAGGATCCATATGCTTCTTGGACTGGAGAGACTGAAACAACCACATAAGACCTTTCCAAGTGAATGACAGACCTGAGGCAACCAAAGAATGTCCTCCTGGAGGTCATACTGACAAAAAGAACACGCTGTCCAAGCTGGATGGGCTGAGAGGGGGCAGATGAGGGTGGGATGTACCAGGACACTTCAGGATGGAAGCTGGT